GGCCGGAGCGCGTCACCCGTGTCCCGCTCCCCTGGGAAGCAGCACGGGGCTAGACACAGGGAGACAGGCTCTCCGGAGGAGAACAAGAAAGAGCTGCAGACTGGCTGCCTAGCTCCTTGAGAAGGGCTCAACTTGATTGTAGACCTGAGTCCTTCTCCCGAAATTAAACACTTTTGCAGCTAATTGGCTTCGGCAATTTAAAAAAGACTAGATTCAATTTCCACTCCCTTAAAATGCAATCTAGACAATTTATGAAAAGAAACTAAATATACTGCAGCGGTAAACACACGTTCTCTGGCTGTGGCCCTCCTTAAAAGCACTTAGAGAGGTAAAAATATTCCCAGATCAAAAGGAATGCCATACTTAATAAGATGAAAGTTGGCATGATTGGTTCAGCGGCGCCTCTAGTTAGCACCCGGGACAAATGAAGAGCACGGCTCGACTGGTCGGGCCTCTTCCCGATGAGTCCAACAAAACAAAGCAGAATCAAGCCCCTCAAGAGGACCTCAGGCCCACAACGGGCCTCTGCTCTGGAGGAGGGACGAGGGACCTGGGCGGAAACAGGATCACGGGAAGAGGGAGAGGGAGTCGTGGCCTCTGGTAGGAGCAAAGAGACCAGGACATGCAGATTCAGGTGCAAGGTCGAGGTAGAAACTTCCAGAAGAGGCATAAGGAATGTGAGAGAAGACCTAAGAAAACAGGAGAGGCAGAGCACGGGAGGGAGACAGCGTGGGTTCCTGGAAGGGGATCTTGGGACCCTGCTTCTCCTCTTCCTTGGCTTCTCAGCCCACAAGATGCATTTCCTCCACCAGACACCTGAACCTTGAGTACTGGGGGGCCTCGCTTCCAATACAGGAGCTTTTGGGGGACATTCTGGTTCCAAACCCTAGGAGACATGCCTCGCAGACACGTATGCACACAGACACACAGAACAGGTAAACACACACTTTCAAAACCCGCACATCCACTCCTTGACGTGACAACACACGACACTCAGGGGCCACTCAGCCTCCAGGTGCGGGCCCAGCATCAAGGACGCATCCAGGAGATCGGGAAATGGCCAGGAAGTGACAGCTCCGTGCACATCCTGCTAAGACCTGTGCTCTGAGGCTGGGGCTGCTTGTGCATCACCAACGCTCAGCACAGACCTGACACAGGGAGGTGCTCAATGTGTGTTGCACAACAGGCAAGCCGTCTGCAAGTCTGGGACCTAAACTCGAGGAACTGGAAGCTCCTGGCTCCGTGCCCCTCCTGCCCTCACAAGGTCAGGGTACTTGGGGTGCCTCTCTGAGTGGAACGCTCCTCACATACAACCTGGAGCAGGGTGAGCAGACCCCTGGTTTCAGGCATCATTCTGCAGAGCAGGCAAAGGAGGTGGCTCCAAGTCTCAGCTCCACCCCTCCAGCTGTAATTCAGGGAGCTGCTGGAGCTCTCTGCTCTGCCCTGGCCCCAGCAGCAGACCCCAACCCATCCACGGGGTGCCGTGTTCACAATGCCCAGCTGGTCACGCCCAGCCCCCTGAGGGAACCCAGCACCCCTTCTCTGTCCCAGAGGTCTGCCCCGTTCACCTGCCATGATCCTCTGGTCTCACGCCAGCTGCATGGGCCTCCTGCTGTTCCTCAAACCTGGCAGGAAGGTGCCCACCAGGGTCATTGCCCCAGCGGCTCCCTCTGCGTGGGGTGCTCTCCCCCATAATGCCTGCAACGTGGTTCCCACATCACTTTCAGGTACCGGCTCAGGTGCCATCTCCTCGTGGGCCCAGCACAGCACCCCCATGGTTTGCTGCCACCCCCCAGCACTGATGCCCCAGGCCCTGTGGGCAATGCCCTCCCACTCTGTTGCGGAAGGTGGGTCAGCAAGTCCTTGGTCTCTTGCTCACAGATGCGTCCTGAGCACTCAGAACGGGGCCTGGTGAGGAGGCCCGCGGTGAAGACGGCTGACGAGTGACTGAGCAGAGGTGGACGAGAGGCCCACCCAGCGCTGGCCCTGCGCAGGCCCAGGAGATGGGGGACCAGACAGGAAGCCAGGGCTGCCCCGCGCTGCCCCCAGACACTGTTCCCAAGCAACCCCAGGAGGTGGTTCTGCCCATTTTGCCGCCTGGGCCAGGCCTGCTCAGCTCCCCAGGTAGCAGAACCAAGGGGCAAAGCAAGGGCTCCGGCTCCGGGGGGAGCTCCTTCCTGAAAGCCCTCAAGGAAGATCCAGGGCAGGAGCCGCGCGGCTGGTTCTCGGCTCGGTGCGCGTCACCGCCGTGATGAGAGCACCACCGTCCTCTCCAGGTGGCTGGCCAGGTGGCAAGCCGGGGACCAGAAGCGCCGTGAGGAGCCAGAGCTGTTGTCGGGGAGGGTTCAGCGCAGCAGCCCCGACACAGAGTGGGCGCTTCACCCCCGGTCCTCACGCTCCACACAGCCTCCAGGGGTGCCGTCCAGCATCCCATCAGCTCAAAGAGCAACACCCCAAACCCACCCCAAATCCTGTATTTTGCTGTGAGCGTGGACTGATAGTTTTTCACACAAGCAACCTGGGACCTGGAGGTGAGGGGGTCCGGGGCTCTGCAGGCAGTTGGGGCTGGTCACCCCTCCTGCGGCTCAGGGAGTGCTGAGGCAGGGCGGGGCGCTTCCCTCCAAGCGAGGCATCTCCTCTGCTCCCGAAGCTCGGAGGAAGATGCTACCAGGAAACTGGCTCAACACTGAGGTCCTTCCTGGGACCTCGTGCACCTGCATTTTACCAGATCCTACCTAACAGTTCTTGGCCCAAGGGACCCATGGATTCACCAGCCGGACACCTCCTCAGACAGCATCTCCACTTAAACGCCCGGGGGCCTGGATGCCTCGCCCAACCTCTCTGATCCTCCGTCTATTTCCTCAGCTTGTTCACAGGCTCTGGGGAGACTCATGTGGACACAGGGACCACCCCTCCGGCACCGCTAGGTTGCCCACAGGTGGACCAGCCCTGCGCCCTGCCCGCAGCCTCTCCTTACAGAGCCCAGTTCCAGCCTCAGGCGGCTCTTCTGGAGTGGCCTGCACCAGGGTCCCCTGCTCCCCACACACGTGATGTAGTGGACGATGCACATTCTCCCCCTCCTGCACGACCCACTCACATACCCACGTGCATCTCCACCCACCCATATCTACACAGCCACACGCTCACTGCCAACTCACACACACACTCACCGTCACACAGCGTCACACACGGTCACACGGTCACACTGTCACGTACCCACAGGACTCCCAGGCAGCCCCTCTCACACACTCAGGCACATGCACCAGCCAGGTGGGAGATGCACCCCACACATGCCCACAAGGGGTGTCTGCCTGAGTGTGCCACGTTGGCAAAGGATCCCCCCCACCTGGCACAACCTGGGCTCTGGCCCAGCTGGCACGGGGGCACCGGGGCCAGCTAGATGCCCTGAGGATCACAGCTATGGCATGTCCAGTCCTGGGGAGGAAGGACAAACCCAGCTCCCTCCTGCCACCCAGAGCTGCTGCTCAGACTCGAGGACATGCAGAGCAGCAGGCCTGGGGCTAGGGCTCCATAACAGGGCCAGCCGTGTCAGAGCGGTGGCCACTTTCCAAACGCAAGACCGCCTTGCCCCCATGGACACCATGGGACTCCCTGCATGGGACTTCTGGCAAGCAGCCAGGAGTGGGGTATTGCTTACAGCATCCCCCCTCCCCGGGCTCTGCAGTTGTTCAACACACTTTCACGGAGCTGGAGGGACCACAGGGCCCCTCCCATGCTCCATGAAGGAACTGAATTCACGTGGCTCTGCTGAGTCCTGGGATTAAGGACATCGTCTGTGGTTTGAGTTTGGGACATGATCAAGTCAGGACAACCCAGAAGAGACGCTTGACCTGCACAATACTGAGCAGACACCTCACCCCACGATGGGGCTGGACGGTTGAACCAAGGCCTGACCAGGAGGGCGCCCACTGCAAACGCTCCCGGAAACCAGCTTTAGATTGAGGCAGGGCGGGGGCCAGGAGGGACCCGATCAACCCCAGACTTGAAGCTTGGCCTCATTGACTCCAATGTGACAGGTTGGAAAGGGATCAAGGGAAGACGGTGGCTTTCAGAATGAGCTGAGGTCTGCCCTGGGCAAAGCCAACCATGAGATTGGCTGAGAGGGGACCCCAACCCCAGAAAGGCTAGCCTACAGGGGAGCTGTGTCCTGCCCCCACTGATGTAGTGGGCAATGCTTCCGACCACCGAGGAGACACCAATCAAGGGCCTGGTTAGCCTGCATTGCCCTCCCACCCAATCTTCACTAACCATGATGAGCAACGAGGGGTATGTCCTGGTCAATGGGATTATCTAGCTGCATGGACAAGTTAGGATAGTTAACTAAAGTCTCAGACAATGAAGGTCCACACCTCAGTGGCTTCGCCTTGTTAACAGTTCACACCCCTCGCATTCCATCGCACAGAGAAAGGCAGATGGCCCTTTTGGTCCTCCTCCAGCTTAGCTCAGGACTCCGGGCTCCTTGTGCCATGGACTTAATGCCTGGACTTGGAGGTTGCCAGAGGAATGGGTGGCCATGGATGGCCCTGGGTGGCCGTCATGGCTGTGGCTGAGTGTGGAAGCAGTGCTTGACCCCCGACATCCCATTGGCCTAATCCAACCACCGGGGCATCTGGGAATGTGACTTCTCCCAGCAGAGGACATGAAACCGACGGTCCTCTAACTGGGTCACCACAGAGCAGTAAGTAGAGAATCCCCTTCTGTTCAACCATTGTCTCTAGAAGTTTTATTTTCCTCCCTCCCTCCCTCCTTCCTCCCTTCCTTCCTCTGCATATAACCTTCCTTCGGCCTCAGTAAGTAAACTCTTCTGAATGCAGTCCAGCCTTTCTCCAGTGACTGTAGGTCACGGTTCAGAGCATCCAAGAAGATGAGTGAGATCGTGAGATCTGCTCCGTCGATATTAACATCAGTGTTTCCCACGGGGAGCTTGTTCTTAAAACTGGGATAGAAGCTTTGCTTATTTTCAAGAGGGAGAGGCTTGGTTCACCATGGGTTATTTTGTTCCAGTCAATTTCTTTTAGGAATTTCATTAGAAACCAGCCTTACAGGCGCTCATGTTACTCAGAGAGCTAGCCAGGAGACAGACTGGTCAGGTCCAAGAGGCCCCCACGTGTGAGTCCTGGAGGAAGGAGCGTGGTCTAGCAGCGAGCACACTGGGGCAGGTGTCAGGACACCGGTGCGGCTCGCTACAAGGTGATGTCTACCTCGTCTAGAGCCTGGAAATGGGACCAAGGTTACCACAGAGGGATGCACTCTACCAGCGACTACAGGGCTCAAGAAGCCTGAGCATCCACAGAGGCAGAAAGAAAACAGCCTTTGGAAACAAAGGCTGGTCTCAGGTAAGAGCTAGATTCGTGACAGTGGAAAACACTGCTTTATCTTTGTTAAGTTTCTTTTTACAGTCGCCTTCTATTTCTGGAAAGGTTCAACTATTTCACTTACAGCAATAACACACACACACACACACACCCGTGCAAGTGCCCCTTTTGAAATGAATTTACTTAGCTAAAACCTGGGTCTATTTAAAGAAGAGTAACAATAAGTGTTCAGGAATCAAGAGCTCAAGGCAGGGGCTGTGGTAGGAGCTCCGGGGGTAGAGCGCGTGCCCGGCATGCTAGAGGCCCCGGATTCCACCTCCAGCTCCACCTCCAGGTCTGCAAAGAAATAGAAACATAAATAAAGTGCAAAATCGGATAAGGCAGAAAGCTTAGAGAGGTAGGAAATGACGATTCGAACCAGGTTGCCCTCGGGGATGGGCATCTCCTCCGGGCTCACCCCTTCACCCTCTGGATGAGGAGGGCAGAGTTGGTGAGAACCCAAACCTAGAGACCTCCTCCTTGACACCTTGGGGTAAAAATCCCTCTAGGAATGCAGCTCAACCTCCTCTGCACCGACACTGGCCGGCGTGGGCCGATGTGGCCTCGATCCCACACAAATGCTAAGACCTATGACTCAGCTCTGGGGCTGGGGCTTTGGGGAGACCCCCTCAGGTCAGCCCAGCTAGCCAGAGACCAGCAGGGTGTCAGTCACTGTGATGACGCGCCTCTGCTTCCCTCTGCCGGTCTTCCTGGGGCCTCTGCTGGGAGGAGCGGACCAGGCCAAAGCAGAGGAGACGTTCAGTGTCCCCTGACCAACACAGCTGAGAAGCGCCCCCACTTTCCACACTGTGTGACCCGCCCTGCGTTGAAGGATTCTGTGCACCTTCAGGTAAACATGTCTAAGTTCTCCACAATGTGTTCAGGTGGCCTTGGGGCTGCAGAGGCTCCACTTGGTTGGGAAATTAGGGAAGAAGACAGTGGGACAGCACCCTGTTGTCCGCCATCTGCCAGGACGTCTCTCACCCACAGTGGGGCCAGCGCGGCTGCTCCCACTGCCCCGCTCCCTGACCACTCAGACCCAGGGCTTCAGCAGAACCAGAGCCTGCTGACTCTGCCAGGTGACCGGCTCAGGACACCCACGTTCCTCCCGGGAGCTTCTCCTTCTCTCTCTTTAAAGGTAGCAAAATCCGTAGTCACCTCATGGGGTCTCCCCTCTGTCCTTATGAGAAGTAGGAACTTCATATCTGCATCTTATTAATAATGTTGTGTCCCAAGTTTGGAGAGAGGAGCTGCAGAGGCCTCCCGCTTTGCAGGTAAGCCCACTTCCCCATGGCATCCGTTGGAGAAGGTACCGACTTCCCCACGGCGCCCAGTGGCCCAGGACTCATGCGTTCTGCAGGCAGCGAGGTGAGGGCTTTTTCCTTTAGCAACTGGTAAAGGGAATTATGTTCTCCTGTGGAGAAGCTGGCCCCCAAGGTCACAGTGTTGCCCTTTGGGCCATCAAGGGTTTCCCATCTCAGCAAGCTCCGGCCAGCCCGCCTCCCCGGACTAATAGGAGCCCCTCTGCTCCTGACTTGCTCTTCAAACCAGCTGCTTTTCACTTGATGCTAGTTAACTAACTCACTCACTAATGAGTCAAATTGTCACATGTTATGTTTGGATGAGAGATGCCCCCAAAGCTGCTGTGCTAATGCAGGAATGTTCAGAGGTGAGGGGATTGGGTTACGAGAGCCGTGACCTGACCGTCCGTCGTAGTTAGGATGAGCTGCCTGGGTAGCAGCTGCAGGCAGGCGCGGTGTGGCAGGAGGAGGGCCACTGGGGCGGCCCTGGAGGGGGCAGGCATCTTCCCTTCAGCCCTCCTCCCTCCCTACTCTGCTTCCCGGCCGCCATGAGCAGAGCAGCTTCCTCACTTGGGCCAGAGCCGTGGCGTCGCTATGGTCCTCTGAAACCGTGAGCCCCAGATAGACTTTCCCTCCTCTAAATGGTTCTCGTCGGCTGGCTGACACGCTGTGCGTGAGAGTTTTGGTTTAAGCACCATATTGATTATGTGCAGGACGGGCACCCGAAGGCTGACTGCAGCAACTAACAATAATAACAATGACAACAACCACGGTGAGGACACGCACGTTCTGAACAGGCAATGTCTGGAGGCTTCGCGAGCATTACGGCCTTTCATCCTCCTGACAGCTCTGTCAAGGGTGGGACGTGATGAAGCCCGTTTTACAGATGAAAACCAAGGCCCCAAAATGAAGTCACTTGCCCACAGGGTGACAGACTAGAATTCAAATCAGGCAGCATGCCACCCTCTCCCTTCTTCTTTTTGTTTTTTAGGGCCTCAGACATATGCAACATTTTACTCACAGCAGGAAGCTCTTCTCTGTGAGTGAGTGAGTGAGCATTTAGCTCTGGAAAGTCACAGGAAGTGCACTCTCCAGGGAGTCACTGGTTTGTGGATCGGGGAATCCCTGGCCCTCTGTTCCACCTGTCTAAGTGTCCTGTCCTGGATCATGGAAGCTAGAAAACTAAAAACTTAATTTCCCAAAAGCTGTTGCAGCTGCATTTCAAGGAATAATAGGACCCACCACCAGATGCCCTTGTGGTGCTCAGCTGGGCGGCAGGCCAGAGCACCTGGCTCCCCCGGCAGCCTCCTGACCTTCACCAGGCAGCAGCCCCTCCAGTCCAATCCTGTGCAGTCACTTCAAAGTCTTTTCTGGAAACACAGCCTTGAGTCTGTTTTCTCAGGCTTCCTGATGACCCCTGAGGCCACCCAGCACCCTACAATGAAGCCCTAACCCAGCAAGCCTGGGCTCGATTCTCTTCTACTGAAACCTGGAAGCAGGAGAGGCTTCAGCACTCCAGGGCAGTGAGACCTGGGCTTGGTCTTCTGACCTGGTCCAATGGGAGCAAAGGTCCCCTGGCGTCCAAGGGCAGAGCCCAAGGGTCCACTCTTTACCAAGGCGGAGCAAGGACCTGGCTTCCAGAGCAAGGCAGCCAGCCTGCAGGAGGCAGGGTGGGACTGCTCGGCCTGAATGCTGATCCAAGTGGCTTAACTCCCTGAATCTGCAGCATGGACAGCAGCTCAAGGGACCTGGCACTGAAACAGGTGGACGGTCCTTGGTGGTCCTATTTGATCTGTGTAACAAAATAAATAAGTAATAGATGGATGATGGTGGACAGATGATAGATAGATAGATAGATAGATAGATAGATAGATAGATAGATGATTGATAGATGGACCAACTCTCTAGTCCTGGGGAGCAGAGGCCTGAATGGAGACACCACCTGGGCTGCTAGTCCACTACAATCCCTGCATAACAAACCACTCCAAAACTTAGTGGCTTCAAATCACAATCCTGTGTGGCTGTCAGACTTCTTCAGGGCAGCTGGTGGTTCTGCTCACCAGGCCAGCCTGGCCCGTCCTGGCTGGCCTCCCTGATGGTCCGGAGCCTCAGCTGGGCTGCTGGTCTGTGCTGCACCTGGTCTCATCCTGCGGCTTGCTGGCACCTGTTTGGAGGAGGCAGGGTCCTGAGAGAAAGAAGGAAGGTAGGCAAGACGGCTTGAGGCTCGGGACTGGCACAATGTCACTTACAGGACAGTCTGTTGATCAAAGCAAATCACAAGGCCACCCCATGTTCAAGGGGATGTAGACTCCTTCTGATGGCAGAAGCTGCAAGGCCACACTGGGAAGTGGACACAGGGATAACAGCGTCTACTGTTGCATGACCCCCTGCAGCACTGCAGGTCCACGCTGCCAACTTCCTCCTCACCGTCCCCTAGGTCAGTGCACTGTCCCTGGGGGAGGAAATACCCAGACCTTTGTGGTATTCCAAAGCGGTGGCTTTATGCTGATGCTCATCCCTGAGACTGCAGGCCCCAGTCATGGCAAGGACATAGGGAGGTCAGGCTATGGGGGAATCTGAGCCTGAGTCATCACCCCTGCGGCTCACGAACCTCAAGTGGTTCTTTCCGCAGTTCCTCGCGTACGGCTGGAAGACCCAAGCTCTGAGGCTGGCAGACTCCCCCACTGGCCCCAACCCAAGAACACCCCAGGGGCCAAGCAGGAGGAGGCTGCTGGCTTGTGGGGCTGCAGGAAAAGCAGCTTTGCCCCGGGCACCTATGATCCCTGGGATCTGGCGGTGCCCACAGTCTGGGCCTCTGGGAGACGGAAAAAAGAGGCACTGCAGGGGACCACAGTGCAGTCCTGGGCTCCACGGAAAACACAGCCTCCTCCTCGAGGGACACGGCTCAGCAGTTGCTCCCAGGCCCCACGGAGACCATGGGTCTAGGTAAGATCCCTCGGGGACCAGATGTAACCAGACGGGCCCAGTCTGCTGGGCCAAACCCAGGGCCCGGCCAAGCAGCAGCCCCTGGAGAGCAGGAGACTGCCCCAGGAGGGCCTCACACTCCAGGGCACCCGCTGCAATGCCCCTGCCAGCTCCCCTGCAGCCACCGGTGTCTCAGGGTGTCCCTCTGACCAGGTGGCTGAGGAAGAAGGAGATGGAGCCTGGTTTCTGGGCTCTGCATGATAGGCTGGCACCACCCCAGCAGGCACTGGGAGGCCCTGAGGTCGGGTGGAAAGGGACGTTTCTCCGTGGGCAGAACTTCCAACAGTGCAGCTCATTTCCCACTGGGTCCTCGATGGAGTGGAAGACACTCGTGCACAACAAACAGGGGAAGGCGGGAAGGTTTGGTCCAGTGGTGCCTCTTGGGAAGACAAGGCCAGGAGGGTGGGGACTGAGCCTCCCAGGATGGGCCTGGAAGGCAAGGACCTCTGGTCCCCACTGCAGCGGAGGCCCTGGATGATGGGTGGAAAAGCCACCCCATTCTGAGGGTGACGGGATCCTCTCCCCAGCCACCCCAGCGCGGAGTTCACGGACACGGTGATGCGGAGGCAGAGGTAGAGATTATGTGCCAGCTCCATGCCCTGCTCTCTCTCCCCAGGGCAGGTCTGGGCCCACCCTGGCCACGGGCAGGAGACATTAACTGGGCTCACAAGGGCACACACCCTGGGAGAAGCAGACTCTTCCACCAGGCAGGGGGAAACCAGCCGTCTGCACAGGAACAGGGGTTTATTCCAAATACGGGTCTTGCCCGGTTACCACCAACCTGTGGAACTGCCAGCTGTCTCCATGGCTTTGCCACAGTGCTGCTCCTGGCCTGGCAAAGGGACTCATTGCACAAAGAAGCCAGGTGACAGTGTGCTGCAGTCTGGCTGGGCACAAATCACGAGCCACTGAAGCAGGAACAAACTTTATTTCTGAACTCCACCAGCACATTCCACACACGCTCCCCGGGAACTCTCTCGAACGCTGCGCGGCTCCTCCAGGAACCACCAACCGGAAATCCCTCCTTCGGCACTTCCCCAACCAATGCGAACTCTTCAGGAATCCCCGCGAGAGCTCAACTGGAACTCAATGAGAACTCCGCGAGAACTCAAAAGTCATCATCTTAATGGCTCGCTGGCGTCACCTCTCAACCACTACTTCTGGCAAAAATGCCATGCATCATCCCGACTCGGCTGTGGCCCTCAACAACAGTGTGACATGTGGACTTCACACCCCTCACCCAGAGGCAACCTGTCATCCAGAGCAATGGAGCCTCAAAGCCAGTGGGGACTGGTTGGGTACCAAGGGAAGCCAGTGGCACGCAAGGCTGAGGGCTGACCTGCTGACCTGCTGGACGGGCCTCACACCCAGTCCTCCCATAGGTAGGCACCCCGGGCCCCGTGCAAGGCTGCTGCACCCCAGGACACCTGCAAGCTTTGTAATTCTTGCTTTTCCTCCCATGACAGTAGGCTCTGCTGGCTTCGAGGTCTTTGTGCCCAAGAGAAAACACAACCATCACACCATGTTGGCTGGGGTAGCTGATTCCGAATAAAAAGGGAAATAGGGCTGAGAGAGTACCCTGGGGCTCACAGGACTTGGGGGCTGCTGCCTGTCGTGCAGTATCTTGTGATAGTGTTGATGAAAACCTACACAACCCGAGTAAGGACCACACAGAGCTCAGACACACCAGCAGCAAAGGCCAAGTCAGTCCACCGGGTTAAGAGCTCAGATTAGCACAGGGATCTTTTGGGACCCTGAATCTTCCATAAGATCAAGCAAGCCCACACCAGCCTACAGGAAGATGATACTACATGGAACAGAGCCCAAAAGCCCAGCCAGGGCTCCAGACCATGAGAGAGGCCAGCCAGGATGGGCCATGCTGGCCCAGACAGCAGAGCCATCCGCTGGCCTAAAGGTTCTTGATGCTCAGCCCCAGGACAGGTATGCAAGGAGGGATGGGCGACGTACATGGGTATCCTCCTCCCTTCCTTTCCTGCTGCGTTAAACAGGGTGTGCCGTAGGTGGCTGGTTTTAGAATCTGGGCCACAGGGACAGATGGGGGTCTTCCCTTGCAGGGCAGGATGGGGATACCTGTGACTTCATGTGGGCTGGTGGTACTGCATTTATGCAGGAGTAACTTGCTGCTAAAGCTGTTGTCTAGCTGTTGACATCGGGGACAGGGTTTGTGGAGCAAAGGGCAGGCTGTGGGGTGCTGAGCACTGGGGCACCTGCACCTGACACCTGGGTCTCCCGCTCTACTGGGGGTGCACATCAGTCCCCAGGCTCCTGGCATCCCAGGTCCCACAGTACTCAGGGTCTAGCTCAGGGGACCGTACGCCCTTAAGGAAGAGGGAAGGCAGTGGACGTACACTGTGCTCAGAGCAGGGGCCTTTCTGGTTCTAGTCGCTGACCCCCAAGAGGGGGCCCCGAGTTCAACAGAACACCCTCCTGGTCATTCCCAAGGCTTCCATCGGAGTCGCTTCCTCCGCCACCAAATGGTCTTATAAGCCAGTTAATGCCATATGATGCCTGAGCTCCTTTCTCAGGAACTCCCAAAGCCAACTCTGCCCTCTGTGCGTGGCCTGTCCCATCTGTTGAGATCTTTCCACCTGAATTCACAGCTTGGAAATTTCTAGGTTGGGCTCAGTTTGGAGTGGTACTCAATGCAGAGGTCATGCCAGGGCAATAGAAAGGGACTTAGGTATCAGTTTGACTCCCAATTCCCTACTCAGGTTCCTTCCATTGGGTTCTCTAGAAATATCATCTGTTGTTTTGTTTTGTTTTGTTTCTTTAGTGTGAGCTTTACAGAGGTCTCGGAGGGGCTAGCGTGGTGGCGCACACCAGTAATTCCAGTGACTCAGGAGGATTGTAAATTGGAGGCCAGCCTCAGCAATTTAGCAAGGCCCTGTCTCAAAATAAAAAGGGCTAAGGACAAAGAGGTCCGTGGCTCAGCGGTAAAGCACCCCAGGTTCAATCCTAGTACCAAAAACAAAAAAATGAAAAACCCATGTGTTCTTTGGACATCAGACTCACAAGCCAGACCAAAGAGTCTCTTGGGAAGTAAATGGGGAGGTGGTCTCCAGCACGCGCCCACCTCCTGGCCCCACCCGCAGGACCACAGGCCTGCCCCCTGAACCAGGCTCAACCATTACCACGCTCCTCCAGTCCTGCCCAGAGAACAGCAGGCTGGGCAGGAGCCAAGCCCCAGAGACATGGCGAGGGACAGCAGCACTCCTGGTCCCTGACAGAAGCAGATCTGACACCCCTGGAATGAAAGGGGGTTCCCTAGTGCCCGGAGCCCCTCCCTCCACCTGGCAGCCGGAGATTCAGATGCGGGACCTGGATGAATCAGGGCTCTCCTTGGTTGCCTAGAAACACAGCTCCAACCTGCTCAGGCCTCCTGGGGATTCTGGCTGATGTCACTGACCGTTCCTGGACAGGCCTAAGATGGCCAATCCTGCACCCTGAAAGGATGTGACCACCAAGCCACATCCTTTGTGACTCAGTTTCCCCCCGTCCTTCAGCTCTGCCTGCCACCCCTGGCTTCACCCTCCGGCAGGCTCACCCCCCGCTCCCCCATGCAGCAGACCCAGGTTCCACCAGCTTTGAGGTGGGACCAGGAGACTTTCTCTGACCAAGCAATGCTAGCAAAAGTCCAGGATGGGCGCTCCTTGGGCCAGCGTGGGCCATGCCTCCAGTCAGCGTGGAAAACCCAAAGGAGAACTGGTGGGCCAGTCCTGGGTACCACACCTACCCCTCCTGGAGCGAGTGGTGAGGCCGGAAGGGGCTGTCCCACCCCTGATCCAACTGAGATGGAGGAGGGGGCCCTCCCTGCTAATAGAAAACAGGAGCAGAGTGGCTCTGTCCAGAAGGCGGGTAGATCCAGGAGAGGCGAGCCTGGGCTGGCCATGGTGCCCACGCTGCTGCAGAGGAGTGCCCAAAGCCAGATCGTGAAGCGGGGCAGAGCGGTGAGAGGAGAGGGGAGAGCCAGAGTCCTCAAGAGCAAGCCAGGCCAGGGCACGGAGTGGGCTGGGACTCGCCCTTCACACCCAAGTGCTCCTCAGAGCTCGGCCGCCACCTTCAGCAGTTTAGCTTTGGAGAAAACTGCCAGCGGCTTCAGACCAAGAAACTCCAGTGTTCAGTGGGCCCAACCATGCAGCACAGAGCCGGCTCTCCTGTTAAATGATCAACAAACGCTGCAGACGGGCACCAGGTCCACTCCTCCAGGAGGAAGAAGATCCCTGGTCCTCCCCCGCATCCTGTTTCCTTGGCTTCCTTTGCGCAGGGCTGAGCGCCGGGACAGCCACGCTGTCCCCTCTGTCCCGGGGGAATGCAGGGCCCCCCTCCCACCAAAGCACTCTGCCCTGCCAGGACTTGGGGCTCCCAGGAGTGCAGGAGCCCCTGCCCGCGGCACCCTGAGCAGCAGGCCCTGGAGGAGGGCGGCAAGGCTGGCTTTAGAGGTCAGTGGTTCTCACCCGGCTCCGGAACATGTGATGGAGGCAACGACAAGCAAGGTGGACCTAGAACTGGTCCTCCCTGGACCCAGGCCTGTCCACACCCACCAGCACACAGTGGCTCCTGATTTCCCTGCTGGACAGATGAAGCCTGGGCTTCTGCCCAGGACCCCCCATTTCCTGGTGCTCACACTCCTCATGACTCTGACCCCTCAGTGAGACGCCTGGTCAGCAGCTCCCTGCAGGACACTGGCTGAGCTGTGAGCAGCCCAAACGGACGGGCTCTGCAGGACCCTGGCACCCAGTGGCTCCTTGTTACCTCAAAGACCGGCTGAACCAAGGTGGCCAGGGTCCTTTTCCTCAGGAGATGTCAACCTTCGTCCCATCTCACAGCTGGCACTTTGCCATGACACAGCGGCTGCGGTGTCCAGAGCCCTGGGGGATAACTGGCCCAACACAGGGCAGCTGTCAGCCCCCACGAAGCCTCACGAAGCCTCTTGCTACCGCCATGAACAGGGCTCGGTTTCCAGATTCCAGGGAAGCAGGCTGGCCCGCACGCAGGCCACCGTGGACTCCACAGTGCTGGGAACGAGGTCTCGAAGTCACTCCACCAGAGTCACCCAGGAGCATTCCCAAGGGGGGCACCCAAGGTTAGAGAGTGTCCCTTGGGGCCCTTTCCCAGCAGAGGGAGCTGGGCAGAGTGAGGACCACGGTTCTGAGCCAGGAGGACCCAGGCCTGTGCCCAAGCCCACCCACTCCTTCCAGAGCCTTCCCTGGGGCTCTCCTGACCTTGGCTCACAGAAGGAGGCTGGGGCGAGGTCTGGTGGAGGCTGGAAAGGAGGAGTGGCCGGGCTGGTAACCACGCAGACCCAGGCCCTGCATCTCCCCCAGTGCGGGGCCAGAGGCGTCCTCCTCATTCTGGAACCACAAACACCAGCCCATCAGCTCCTCGCCCAGCTCCCAGCTGGGCTCCAGCGCCTTCAGGTCCTGCCATCAATTCCTCCCAACATGTCTTCAGGCAGAGCTGCAGCCCACTTTGGGGCTGGGGCATCTCCCCACAAGCCGCCCTCAAAGCTCTCCTTTAGGTCGTACCAAAGCCCTAAGGCTCTGGAGACGACGGAGGTGTCCGGCGACTACGTGGAGCCTCTTTCTGGGGGGTCTGGTCCGCACCCCCCACCTACCACTTAAGAGAGAATCGTAACCACCTCCCCCTGCCCGTCCCGGCCACCGAGGAGGAGGAGGAGGGCTGCTGAGAGGAGGCGCGATCGGCAGAGCCCACGGAGGATGCCCAGGGCACACCCACAGGCACACCCATGGCACACTCAAGGGCACACTCACAAAGCCGTTTCCTAGAGGAAACTGAGCTTTGAGGACCAGGTGCACCCTGGCCAGGAACTTGGCCCCGGGGAGGCCGGGCTCCTCTTCCAGCCAGCACTCGACACCCCCCTTGTTTTCCCAGCGAGTGCGGCCTGTGGGGGGCCACAAGGCCCAGCCTGGCCCCACGCCTTTCCACCATGGCAGAAAAGGTAAAAGCCACCAGAACATCCACTTGCTTTCTGAGCTGCAGAGGACAGTTCTGACCCCGACACAGGTCCTGGGGAAGCCACCACACAGCCTCCGCCCTCCTCATCCTGCCACCGATATTTCAACCAGGCACAGCCTCACGCTCCCCACTGACCTCGTCCGCCCTCGTCTGGGCCCTAAGTACTCCTTCTTTTACGATCTGGTGAGGCAGGGGTAGGTTAGGGTTAGAAGGGACTCTTTGAACGTCTATCTCAGCAAGTAAGACATTGGCAATTCCACGCTGGTTCTCTGACTCCGGAAACCCACAGGTGACAGTTTAAGGGGTGAATCGTCCCACCCAGGGGTGGCCCAGGAGGAGCTCTTGGGTTGCCGGCCCACCCCTCTGCCTCATTAGCAGACTTGATCACTGGTCAGTGTGGTGCCCACCAGGACAGGACCAGGACAAGGCCAGTCCACGTGTACACAGGAAGCAGATGTCACTCTCATTTAAAATTTCCTTGTAATGAAAATAAGATTAGAATTCTCTTCCGAGGCAAGCAAGAATCAAAGTCACCATTATGTCCTATGAAGTTGGAGCCGTGTGCCCACGACCACTCTCCAGCCTGACGAGGGGGAGATGGGGGCTGAGAGGCCAAGAGGGGCACTGAGCAATGGCTGAGACGCTGCAGGCTGTGTCCCTGCAAGAGGCATGGAGAGCAGGCCACTCAGCCAGGCCCTCTGGGAGGGCACACGAGCCCCACACCCTGAAGAGGCAAGGGGTGCACTTCCTACCTGTAGACTCATTTGCTCCCCCTGGACTCCAACTTTCCTCCTGGTGTGGAGGAAACGGTGAGTGGCCGGGAGGGGCTGAGCAGGCGCTGTCAGGGGCTTGACCGCGGGGGGCAGCCTGAGCCGGGAAGACCAGGGCCTGTCTTCCCAGGCAGCTGGCCGCTCCCTGGACACTGCAGGTGGGGCATCTCCCTGCTCCAGCTTTGGCACCAGGGAGGTAGGAATGCTCCAGGACCCCAAGGTCACTGCCTTGAATCTCTTTCCCCAAATCTTCTCCAGGGGCAGGAGCCCAGCCAGGACACCGTCTGCCTTTCAGATCCTGCACTAGTCAGCTTCTCGTGGGTACAACAGAGTACCCGAGAAAGACGATTCGGAGGAGGAAGATTTATTATTTTGGCTCACTGGTTCAGAGGGTCAGTGCATGGTCAGCTGGCTCCATGCTGTGGCCGGAGGTAAAGCAGAACACCGTGGCAGAAGGTGTGGTAGAGGAAAGCACCCTGGCTCAGGGCAGTTTGGAAGAAGAGAGAGGAAGGGGTGGAGATGAGAGAGACCCTTCCAAATGACCCACTTCCTTCAACTCAGCCCAGCTCCTGCAGTGTCCACCACCTCCCAATAACACCATCAAATGTGTTAACCCACTGGTGGATTAATCCAGGATGGAGATGGGGTGTTGCCCTGCACAGCCAAGAGCTTCACGGCAACTGCTGGATCCATGACGGAGCCAACCACTGGCCGCCCAGCCTCCCAGATGCGCTGCATGTGCCTATTGCTGCCCACAGGGCTGCGTGCCTGTGGCACTGGTCAGGTTAGGGGAGCCCAGCCTGCCCACAGCCACCATCTAAAAGCCTGAATTCAGTTCTCCCCAGAGGACCCAGCCTCGGCCAGCCCTCGCCCAGGCTCCTGCCCAACAGCCACCCAGCCTGAGGACCAGCTGCCCGGCAGGAGGCCAGGCCCCTGGGGCACGGCAGGGGCAGGCAGAGGGTCCAGGGTGGGTGGACACAGCTCTGTCCTCCCTGCCCCGTGGCCCAGCCTCCCCTGGGGCCCTGAGCCAGGCCTGCAGGCCACGCTGCGGCCAGCAATACGTCGTCTCCAGCAGCGTCTGCTTCCAGGAGCTCATTGATTCCCACCCTGTCTCCCAGCTTCCTGGCACAACAGGTCGTGGCTGGGGACGGGTGGGAATCCAGCCTGCTCTAACCCACCTCTTAGAAGCCCTCCGCACAGGACTGCGGTGGGGGTGTGCGGGTCCCATGGCTCAGGGAGGGCCACAGGGGCTGGGGAGGTCTCTCCCTTCACTCTCCAAGGTGCAGGCAGGCTGTGGGCCCAGCCCTCTCAGCTCAGGATCTGCCAGTGTGGCCCAGCCTGCGGCAGCAAGGAGGGCAAGGAGGCCTCAGAGGGGAGGCTGGGGAGAGAAAGAGAATGTGGGCACCAGGGAAGAGGCTTGGAGGCAGGACAAGGGAGGCCAGGCCCACACAGCAGGAGCCCCGCTTGACAGTCCTGAGCCCTTCTGCTGGTGAGAAGGGGACACTCCTCCCTCCTCACTTCCAGTTCCTCGGCACGCCATGCAGGGCCTACTCATGGGGAAGAGCCAGGGTTTGGAGAGAGGTGACCTGAACTTCCTGCTGCACCCTGGGAGCAAGTGGCTCAGGCTCTGTGGGCCTCAGTTCCCCAGTCCATCGAGCAGGACGCTAACAGGGCTGGTCAGGCCCACAGAGAGGGTGCAGAAGGAAGCAGGGCGGGCAGTTCCTGTGACTGCTGCAGGGAGCTTGGTTCTGCCTGCTCAGAAGGGGTGTGTGTGGAAAGGGGGTCCCAGCCAGGCCAGGTCTGGTGGAAAGACCCACAGGCTTCCCAGGGACAACCGAGGCTTCTCCAAAGAGTCCACCCCAGGCACACCATGGGGGCTGGCCCAAAGGGCTAAGCCCACAGCCTCGGCTGACCCCTTCAAGCGCTGCATCCTGAGCCTCTCCCTCATTCCAGCAAAGCAGGGGAGGCACCGCCCGTGTCTGCCCAGAGTCCTGGAAGCAGCAGCTGGGGGCAAGGCTCTGAGCTCGGCTGCCACGTACAGCTGCCCTAGAGTGGTGCAGCTGGGAAGAAGCTGAGGCCAAGTAACTTCCGAGGAGCTCAGAGTCACAGAAAGCTCCTGGGCTGCATTCCCGGCTCCCCCCGGCTGTGTGGTCCAGAGCCCTAACCCTGGCAGGCCCCTGTCGGTTCCAATCCAGTTCCAGTCCATGAAAGCAGCCCCACACAGTGGCTGAGGAGCTAGCCCAAGCGACATCTGAACAGTACCTGGGATCACCCTGGCCCCAGCAGGAGTCCAGCGAAAACCTCTCCTCCTTGCTACAGCCCCAGGGTCCAGCCTCTAGAGAGCTGCCTGCGCCCTCCCGACCCCCACGCAGCCGGCCCTCCTGCCTGGCCACCCGCCTGGCCACCCTCAGCTCCTGAGTCGAGTCTAGGTCAGGCCAAAGTGGGGTTGAGTGCTGTGGCCCGAATGCCTGTGTCCCCAGAACTCACAGGTGGACTCCTAACCACCCAGGCAATGGTGAGGACAGGGTGGGTTCTCTGGGGTTAGGTTGTGAGTAGGGTTGGTGACCTGCCTGCTCGTGGCCAGGTGAGGACATAGCAAGAAGCCACTAAATGCGAGGAACAAGTCCTTGCCAGACTCGGAGTCTGCTGGCACCTTGACCTTGGGCCTCTGGCCTCCAGAACTGTGAGTTCTAGAGGCACACAGTCAACCAATGAGCCGTCTCCTGCATCCTTTCTTGGCAACCCAGCCACAGAAGATGGAGCCACAGAAGATGAGTGGGGTGGGGCTCCCTCCTGCACCACTACCCACCAGCCCGCCCCGGGACACTAACGGAGACCTGCAGAGCCAGCACAGGCCGCGGCTGCAGGGACACACCTGGCCCAATGGCTGGTCCCCAGCTTAACGACTCCATGTGCTCAGAATAGAGCTGGTATGTTGGGAGCCTTCACCGTGGCAAGAACCTGGCGGAGGTCAGGCGAAGGTCAGCCTGAGTGTGCCCTCAGGAACCCTGACGTGGTGCCCATGAGCACAGTGACCCCCAGGCCACTTGGACATCAGCGGGCCTGGCCAGGGCTTCGGGATGACCCTCCTTCTCCTGCCCCTGAGCTGTAAATGAAAAGGAAACAGAAGACCTGGGCGGAGGCGGACCAGAGAAAGGGGAGGGGAGAGCACGTCCTCTGCTCCTTCCTCTCCCTGCCTCCCCCCTACTGTACTTCGGGGGTAACCTGCTCCTGGGGACCCCAACCTGAAACAGATGGTCTCCTAACAGTGCAGCCCTCTCCTCCAAATCCTTCTAAAAGGGACAGAGATGTGGACACAGCAGAGAACCTGAGGTTTGTCATGCACACACTTGCCCAGAACAGCCCAGCCCCACAGAGCCCAAGGCCAGAAAGACAGATGGACCCAGAACTTACTGGGGCAGCAAGACCAGTCGGATCCCCACACACTGGGCCACGACAGTGACTGCGTCCTGACGGGAACGCCCCTCATTTATCTCAGGATAAAATCAGCGCCAGGCACATCCCTGGCACCGGGGTCCAGAGGCAAAGCTGCACGTGCACACTAAGGCTCGCTTAGTGACAGCTGGAAACACTCAGGGGACCAGCGAGGTTGCTCCGGGGCCATCACGGCCACCATGATCAAGACCCTGCCCTCGTGTCAAGCTGAAACCCCACCCACCCACGCATGTGGACAACAAGCCACCCTCGTGTTGCCCACTATTAAACACATCCATTAGGGGGTTTTTCTTCCTGATCAGGAGGACGTGAGCCACCTAGGAAATTAAAATCTAGAATAATTCATGAAGAACAAAAGACAGAGTCAGAATTAGTTTTAAAGGATGGAGCATCTGGTAGGTCAAGTCCACACAGAGCTCCCATGGTTTATTTAAGGGGATACATCAAAGGCAGGGATCAGGGATCAGAGGTGGAGTCTTGCTCTGTGCGTCTTGCAGTCAGCAGGCTGATTGACATCTTGGCAGGTCACACCAGTCTCAGTACCCCTGTGTTCAATCCTCAGTACCAATAAATAAATAAACAGGGCTGGGGGTGTGGCTCGGTGGCCAAGTGCCCTTGGGTTCAATCCCTGGTACAAATAAGTAAATAAATAAAAGTGCAAAGACCTGGGGTGGGGGGAAATCCACTTTAAAAGAACTTCATTTCTTCCTTTAACAGAATCTGATCCATGGTCTGACTTATGCGGAATTAGTTGAGATGACCAGCTAAAAGGATTATTTGCCAAAGTAAAACTGACCCCAGATATTTGTTTAGAGTCATGGCCCAAACGAATCCTTCCCCCAGGCTCAGAGCTAGGAGGATGTTTGGACAGGGTCCCCCGGGGCCGCGCTGCCGCCCCCACCAGTAGCGCGCAGAGGCAGCGACAGCGTGTGAGGCCTGGCTCTCTCTGGGATCGTCCACCCTGTCCACTTCCACGGCTGCTGTGGCCTCATGGAGGCCAGTCCAGCAGAGCCTCCCTCGTTGGACTCTCTGGCCTCCTCCGTCCTTCTTCCCAAAGACCACCCGGTGGTCCAAAGTGGCATGAGGATTGTTACCTGATGCCAGTTGTGGCCTCAGTGTCCAGCCCCTAAGAGGCCAGAAGTACCAGCACCCAGCAGCCAAGGCCAGAACCCAAGCTCCAAATGGGGAAGCCGGATGCACTGTTGTGCTGAGGTCAGAAAGAGCCAAAGATTTGAAACATTTCGATTGTTTCACTTAAAAATATTTAAGGCTGCGACAGGGTCAGAGTTCACCGCCTCTGCCCGCTGGGGAAACCTGGTGGCCACTTCCCCAGCCACTTGGAATCAGAGCAACAATTTAAAGTGCCTTGGTTTCTTTCCAAATAAAGGCAAACAACATGGAATCTCCATCAGGCATGGGAAGCCAAAGCAGCCCCCCTGGCTTCTGTTTGACTCCATTTAGTGGAACACGGCTTTCGGCAGTGTGAGAGGAGGGAGGAGATAAGCTACTGCTACCAGAAACGCCCCCGAAACCTGACCCTGCTTTGAAAGAGGGCTGGGCGGGACGAGGCCAGCCTGCACTGCAGCTGGAGCCTCGTGGCCTGGCGAGGCCCAGGCGGCCGGCTGGCTCTCTCCTGTACGTGAAGGGAGAAGTAAATGACGATGCCACTCAGAACATCTGCACACCCAGGCGCACACAGTGGCCTTGACCTGGGCTTTGTGCCTGCAGAGCCCTGTTCCCCGATGCCCTAGCATGTGAGAGGGCAAAGGGACGCCCCACATCACAGGCTACGCACCAAAACTCTTCTGCATGCGGGTGGCAGCAGGAGGCACCCCCCAGGAGAGGCAGGCTGTGGAGAGAGCAGGCCTGTCTCTGAGGTCTGGGCTCCATGTTGACCAGCTGCTGGGGCTGGGGCCCAGCAGGGTCAAGCGGATGCCTGTGCACCTGACCACCAGCCCGGAAGCCCACCTACAGCCTGGCTCCTCTCTGCCTGCCCAAGTCCCTTTGCTCCTGGCTGCTCTCTGCCAGCGGGCCCCCTCCGCCCAAGTGTCCCCTGCTCAGAGAGGACTCGACCCCTTTTCTAAACCAATACCCCTTCCTCACAGCTTCAATGTCCCACAGGGCACCACATGTCCACTGGTCACTGGGCCCCTCCAAAGGCCACCTCTCAGGGCAGGGACAGTGTCTGTCTCAGGGAGGAGCCCTCTGCACACTAGGTGGATGGAATGAGGGTGTGAGCAGGTACATGCTGGGGGGTAAGGCAGTGTGGCCAGGCCCCTTCCTCCTTGTGGGCCTCTGAGCTCAGGTGATGGTCAGGCATCCTCTAGCCCCAAAGGAGCTCACTGCTGTCAGGAGCCAGCCCCACCCACCCAGGAGGGGCACCTGCTGCCTGCTCTAGCCTGGTCTTCCCGGGAGCTGCAGCGCCCTCCTCTGCACGGGAGGAAAACAGCACCACAAGGGAGCTGTGCACAGCAAGCCCAGGGAGGGGGCAGTGGCCGCGCAGGCACCCAGCACCCAGCTCTATAGGCACCATATCTCGGGCAGAGCCCGTATCTCAGAGCTGAGCCGAGGGCCCAGTGGCAGCCCATCTCAGTCCACGCTTTACAGACTGGACAAGGCCAGGAGCTCCTGAGACGCCACCATTTCCAAGGACAAGGAAGATCCGGTAGAGCCACCTCTAGCAAAGCAGCAGCCCTTGACTTTCCGCATGAAAATGCACCTGGGAGAAAGCGTCTGCAGGGCAGGTGGGCCTCCAGCTCTGGAGCACCTGAAGGGGCTGGCGGAGGACCCACTCCCTCTGCTCTGCCAGGAGGGGCGCAGCCAGGCTGCGGGACCACGGCTCCTTTAAAAGGTACAGGCTGCATGAGTCGCCTTCCAAGGTGCTGTAGCCCCCGGGTTTTCCTGCCCAAGGCGCAGGGCACTGTGGCGGGGCCTGCAGCCAGCACAGCCCTCGGGGAGCAGAGGTGGCTCCCTCCATCACCCAGCTCCTGGCCACAGGGGCCATCTCTATGAAGAACAACCCGCCTGTGCCCGAGGACCAGCAGCCTCACAGGACGGGTGCCTTTGTCCATGCCTAAGGAGCCAGCCTGCCAGGGTCACCCTCCACCCTCTCTGAGTCGGGAAGCAACTGGAGAAAGAGAACACCCAAGCACAGGGACAATGAGCGCTCACCAGCCCTGGTCACCTGCAGGAGTGTGGGTGTGAGAAATCAGCGTCCACCTTGCCTGAGACAGTGGTGCTGGGGTTTCTGTCATGCACAGCCAAACACAGCCACCCTCCCCACCCGCCATCTCCCTGCTACAACAGCCTCTGCTGTGCCTGTGTCTGGGCGGCTCCACGTGGCCCTCCACACCACTGCCCACCTTCTCCCAGAATTCCAACATGACACTGCCCCTCACCTACCCCTTGCTTTGAATCTCTGAGAAGCTTCCTGGTACTTCCTGATAAAGACAAAAGCCCTATCCTGGCCTGCAAGGATCTTGCTGTGCCCGGGTCAGCTTCTCAGGTGGGCCTGAACCTCCCATAATGGCCCAGCGCGGTGACCTTGACACCATGCACCCCCCAGGGCCAAGGCCCTCCTCTGTTCTTTGTCTGGGAGGCCCTCCCGTGCCCTATGTGCCCACCTCATGCTCCAGGGCTGCGTATCCTCACAGGAGGCTGCAGCCGGTCCTGCTCCCAGGCCGTGCCTGCCCAGGGCCTCCGACAGCCTTCCCCACCTCCCCGAGCACTGAGGGCGCAGGCCATGGCAGCCCACGGTCCTGCAGTGGCTTCCGCTCCCTGTGGATGTGCTGAGAGCAGGAGCTCAACACCACGCCCCACCACAGGGCCTCCCGGCATCCGCATTGGATTCTTGGGACTCCACGGGCCTCTTCCATGGAGACTGCGCAGCCTCAGCATCCGCCCAAGCAAGACCTGACAGTGGGCCTACCCACAAGCAAACCACCCTCCAAAGGAGCCACGCCCACTGCTGCTTGTCAGGGCACTCGAGGGGCCCGAGGCCGACTCAGCCCCAGCAGAGTGCAGCACTGGGCACACAGCTCCCACCTTCAGGCCCCTGTAGAGCATGCAAGCCATTCCTGAAAGTCCCACGGCAGCCGGCACTGGCTCTAGGGACATTCGTCACTGCACGTCCCCATGCAGTATGTGCTCCATGTGTGCTCCATGAGGTCGCTGCAGGCACGCAGGCCACCTCCACTCTTGCACCCCTTGCACTCCCACCCCCAGCGCAGTGCTCTGGGGGCCCTCGCGGTCTCAGTGGTGTCCCTCAGCTCTGCCCTGGGGCCAGGCCCGAGGGGACTCTCAAGAGGGCACAGGGCTGGGCCCTCCTGGCAATCCAGGGCAGTCCAGGCTAACCTGCAGACGGGAAAACCCTCTGACAGCAGGTCCGCAGGGAATAAGGAAAATAAGAACCACCAGAAGGGACACAGCCAGCGTTCAGATGGTCTGATCTTAGACACAAACACAAAGTGATATCAGTATATAAAACACTGTGCAGCAAATAAAGTTCATTTTGTTCATATAAAATCCAGTAAGAAAAACATAATTTTGCCATTTAGATGATTCATAAAACACATTTTGCTAAAAAAAAAAAAAAAAACTGAAACTAAGTTACAAATAGTGACAACCTCCATGGACTACAGAGGGACCAGTGGGCCTCATGCACACCTCAGGTAGAATAAGGTGACTGGAGGCCACCAGATTCCTGTTCACACTGAGAACTCACCCTTGGCCTTGGTCAGTGTTGGCAGCCCTAGGCTGGACACAGGCATTTCAAAAATGACCAGGGTACACATGCTCCTCCCTAAGCCAGGCCCAGGCCACCAGGGCAGGGCCACATGCTGGGGAGAGGAGAGGCAGGGGAGGTCCGCAGGGCAGGCGTGTGTGGCAGGTGCTGCCGGCCCCTCACTGGTAGATGACCTTCACACAGAAGGCCTCTTCATTCTTGTCTTCGTGGTCATTGATGTAAATCAGGATCTCCTCCTGCCCCACTCTCCCGCCCGGCGCAAACCGCAGGCCGATGGTGTAGGTCTCGCCTCCTCCCACCTGGAAGAAGCATTGAGACCCCAGTGTCCACCCTGAGCTGCGTCACCTTTACCAGCTGCTTCTCAGGGCTAGGGATGGAACCCAGGCTCAGGGTGCCAGGCAGGCCTCCACACTGAGCTACACCAGCCTCACAGCAGCGTCCAGAGAAGTGACTCAGGTGAGGTAGGCTCCCTAGAGGCAGGTGGGGCACACGGCTGACAAAGGACGTCCATGACCAGCCCGGGACCCAGTGCCTGGAGGGACGGGCACCAGGCCTTCAAGGGCAGCACAGCTGGGGCTGGAGGCCGCTCCTCTCCTGAGCTCCCTCCCAACACTGCTGTGGAGACCCTAGCCACCAGCCTGCCCTCTCAGAAGCTGGCTGCCTGCGGACCCCTGAGGTACTACCCCCGCAGGACGCGCCCTCGACCTTCCTGATGGGGGACGGCCTCGGATCTGGGCACAACAGTGAGGAGCTGCAGAGGGGCAAAGCCACCAAGGCCTCTTGCAACAGTGCTCTCAGCCAGAGTATCCAGCGAGAGGCGGTGGGCTCTCAGCGAGTCTCCTGCCTCCCGGCACCTCACCAGGGGGCTGGGGCACCTGCCACCATCCCCAGACTCACCCCTCCTGGACGCAGCACTGACCACCCAGCGCCAGCCCTCCCACACGCCTCCCAAGGCCCCCGTGCCGCCCCTGCAGCACCTGAAAGGTGTCCTCCTTGAACTGCAGCAGGTCAGGGTGGTCGCTATACAGGCGGTAGGTCCTCCGGGTGGGGTAGGGGTTGGTGTAGGTGATCCGCTTGTTGACGCCCTTCCCTTCACCCACCGCCATCGTGATCTCAAAGGCCTGGGGAGGGTGGGCCAGGTCCCAGTCACGGCCCAGGGCTCCTTCTCCAAGAACTTCCTGAGCCCAGCCCCAGACACCAGGACATCCACGCAGATGAGAGGGACAGATGGTGCAGGAGCAAGCACCCCCACCCCGCCCCACACAGCCCTGGATCGGGACAGCCCAGGGCACAGGGCAGGTGATACCCAGGTGACACCCTGTCACCTGAAGAGCACAGAGAAGTCCTGCAGTGCCTCCTCCCGCAGCCTCACACAGACCTTGGAGATGAGCGGCTGGTGGCAGGAGAGGCACAGGAGCCAGGAGGCCACCAGCTGGTGGTAGTCCACGTCCACCAGGTTGAGGTGGATGAAGCGGCTGCCGGCCCTTCTGGGCCTCACGGCCACATGCAGGTCCTGTACCCCATGTGGCGGCAGCACAAAGACACCTGCGGGGTCTGTCTTCAGGAGCAAGGGGAGAGTCAGATTGCAGCCTCTGGGTTCACAGACACAAAGTCTCCCAGGTACCCAATCCCACCAACCAGGGCAACTCAAAGTCACCAGGTTGTTCAGGTGACAGCTCAACAGGCTCAGGAGCCACCCGGGTCTACAGCCTGGCCCCTGTTCCCGCACTTTGGGTCTATGGTAGGCAAGGCCCACCCATGGTGACCCTTCCCTAAGCAACCTGGGTTCAGAACACAGGCCTGTAGGTGGAATCTGCATGGCCTCATGTTGTGTCCCCGGGGCGTCTCCGATCCCAGAGTCCTTCAGGTGCACCTGTCCCGTGGCCGCACCGGCATGCCTAGCAAAGCCAGCTTAGGGCCGGGAAGACCCTGCGGCAGTCTGGCAGGGAGGAGGCTCACCTGCAGCTCCTGGGGGTGCGAGGCAAAAGCTCTCACTTTCCTCACTCTCTGTGTCCCCCGGAGGACAAGGGACAGGCGGCTCAGTTGGCCCGCAACACAGGAGACGTCGACGCGCTGCAGGGAGTGGAGGCAGACCCGCCACGTCTGCACAGGCACTGCCAGCCAGCGGTCCCTGCGAGGGACAGGGGCTGTCTGCAAGTGTCCTCAGAGAGACAGCAAAAGCCCCTGAGAGTGAGTGTGCTGGGGGGCAGGGGCGGGGGCAAGAGCCGAGGAGGCCAGGCTGGGCCAGCTGCCTCCGCCCTGGCCTCCACCTGCCCACCTACACGGAAGCCCTTGGCGGGGCTGAGACACTGCCTGTCCCTGCACCTAGGACTGTGCACATGGGATGAAGGAGGGCCTGAGCTGGCCCAAATGCCTCGGAACAGCTGTGAAGGGTGGTGGGCTGCATGTAGGGGACGGGGGGCCCGGAGGTCACAGGTCTGAACACAGGGCTGTGAAACTTCATGACTGCATCACAAAGCAGGGCCAGTGACGCACCTCCAGGGGTTGTTAGGAGGAGTCAGGGCTGAGGTGTTCTCATGGCAGGGGAGGCTGATGCAGCCTCTCACCCTGGATGCAGCTCACCCTTACCCTGGCCTGTCCTGGAAGCCCTGCAGGAAATCTCCCGGCTTGCTCCAGTTAGAGGGCTCCAAGTGGCTGGGAGACAGGGCCCAGGAGAAGACAGTGAAGGGACTGCAGCTGTCTAACTGGGCAACTTGATCATGGTCTTGGGGTGGTGTCAGCCACTCCCAACTCCAATCCCTCCACGGGTTCAGCCCATAAACTGGGGAGGAAACAGCTGCCAGGCTTCCTGGGCTGACCCTTCCCTGAGTGGGCAGGGAGCATCCGAGTCTCTCCAGTCACTTGTGCTGCTCCAGCAGAGGATGCCCTCTGCAGGGCCCTACTGGCCCTAGAACTCAGCAGTCCTGCCTCTCAGATGGGCACGGCCCCCATCCACCAGCAGCCCCGACCTGCCCTTTCCAGATCTGTTGTCTTGAGTACTCACGCATAAATGATGACAAAGAAGTCTTTCATCTCTGGGCTTGGACCACTAGCCACCTTCAGAAACACATCCCGGGGCTCCCCAGGGCCCTGCCAAGCAGACGTGGGGGGCATGGGGGCCAGCACCACCTGCCTCCCCCCTCTAACCCTAGTCTGGCCCCTAAAGTTGCCTGAGGCCTGTGCAGCTGGGGCAGGTGTGCAGCCAGGGCAGGTGTGCAGCCGGGGCAGGTGTGTACCCAGGACAGGTGTGCACTGGGGGCAGGTGTGCAGCCGGGGCAGGTGTGCAGCCGGGGCAGGTGTGCAGCCAGGGCAGGTGGGAGCCCCTCCCCAGGTGCATCCTCCTGGCACTCGTCAGCATTCACCAGCCTGTTCAGTGAGGGAGCAGTCGGCAGCTCCTTGGTTCTATGTTGATTTCAATAATTACATTGCACAGATTTTATCCAGGCTCCCAGCTAGTCATAGCACAGTTACTGCCGCCATCCCTTGACGACGGTAATTAATAAGTGCCTTAATTACCATTCGTTTTATTCACTTTGCTTCGTGCCTTTTCTTAAAATTTAAATGCAGCTGATCAGAGGACTGATCTGCTAGCAGAGAAAATAAAGACCTGCTCGGGAAGCCCTCAAGGGTGTCCCCAGAGCCCTTCACCACCTTGAAACGAAGCCACTCAGCTAAAACCCCAGCAGAAGCGACATGGGGCGAGGACAACGTCCCCACAACATACCACACTCTGGGCCTCACAGAGGACATTGGGGTCGCTGCATCGCACGTGGATGGGGAGGTCCTCGCCAGGCATTCCCACTGGGGCACCTGCAACAGGGAAGGGGACAATGTTGCCACTCGCCTAGCGAGGCCTGTGGGCAATGCAGGCTGCAGGTCGCGGGCACAGGAGCTGACAGCCTGACCTACAGTGTCCCCACAGGGGTGGGAGACAGACCCAGGAGGAAATAGCAGAGGGACCAGGGTCATTCAACTGGGTGAGGGCAGTACAGGACAGCTCGATCATCACCATGGGGTCTCTGTGATGACCTTCTAGCCCCTTCCATGGAGAGTCACCCAAAGGGAGTGACCTAGAGGTGAACAGGAGCCCCACCAAGCACAGAGGCCTCACCTGGCTGTGAAGGTACCTGCCAGAACGTTGGAGAGCCCCTGGGGGGAGCCATCTCCATGGCCCTCACTTCTTACGGGGACAGGCCCTGGCGCAGAGCTCTTAGGGTTGGAAGGGTGGCATCAGAGGAGGCAGAAGGGTGGTGGCAGGGTTTGCCACACAGCATGGGGGACTCCATGATGCCACTTGCCACCTTGGGCAGAGGCCTCTTCCAACCACCTGAACCTGCCAGAGGCCACCACAGGAACGGCAGGGGACTTGCCGGGAAGCGTATGCCAGGGAGGCAGGCGGATGGCCTTCTTCAGGAAGGTGAGTTCCGGGTGGTAGAAGCGGAAGATCTGGTCCACAACGTGGGGCTGGGGCTCCACGGTCAGCTGGAGCATAGCGAGGAGCTTCCCGCTGCTGGCCCGGAACAGCACCTTCAGGACAGCAGCAGCCAGGCCTCAGGACAGGAGCACAGACTGTGCAGCTTCACATCCCTCCCAAGGCAGCACAGAGATCTCACTGCCCTCCTCAAGAGAGGCGGAAGACAGGCATTGTCAGAGATGCAGGGACAGGGTTCACAGTACAGGGCACTGGGGTCCTGAGTGGACAGTGAACGTGCCGCTGCCATCCTCTCAAGTAAGGCATGCCCCTTAAATGCTGTCCCCACTGCAGTCCCCCCTGGGTGCGTGGCAGTCACTCAGAAGGCCTCGCCATCGCCCTCACCAGGCCATGGTGGTAATGGGCAGCTGTGTTCAGGACTGAGCCCTCTGCTTGAGGGCTTTCCAGACAGAGAAGCAGGCTGTGCTGAAACCAAGAAGGCTCAGAACGCGCCAGATGTGGTCATGCACACCTGTCGCCCCAGCGGCTCTGGAGGCTGAGGCAGGAGGATCGTTAATTCAAAGCCAGCCTCAGCAAAAGTAAGGCACTAAGCGACTCAGTGAGACCCTGTCTCTAAATAAAACACAAAATACAGCTGGGGATGTGGTTCAGAGGTTGAGTGTCCCTGAATTCAACCCCTGGTACGAAAAAAAGAAGGCTCAGAACAGAAAGCCTCCTCTTCAAAAAGTTATTGCAAAAAACTTACATTCAAGAGTGGTGCTTATTTATCTTTATTTCGTCCTCCACACAGGCAAGTGTGTGGACACAAAGGCATACATACACAAGCACACGCATGCACATGTGACCCCGGAGGCAGTGGCAAGCAGCACAGATTCAAGAGCTTTCTGTCTTGTTTGACAGTCTGTGAACTCCTTGGTTAATTTTTAGAACTAAAGAGGAAAGCTCTATTACGAAAACAAAGCAACAGAGCTTGCAGGACCCCAAGCTGGTGGCACCATCACAGAGGAGAATTCCTCCAGTAAGTCTAAAGTACAGGACAGGGACCCTAGGGCAAATGCACTGCTAGAAGCCTTAAGCTGCAGTACTCTTGTCCGGGTCTCTGAAATACACAGATGGACACACACTTGCCAGCATGGCCGGTGGCTTCAGGGCCAAAGGGGTCTGACCAGGGTGGTCAAAGACTGGCTATATACAGGAAAACTAGGCAAATAAGTAAATATGTCAAAGACAATGGGAGCCAGGTTCCTCACTATCAGACACTGGGGTTCAAACATGGAGAAAGACAACAGGAATAAACCCTGTGATGCTGGCCTGGTCTTGAAGCACAGTGTGAGTCTATGGTCTTCAACCCATACAGTTAGAACAAAGGTCTGTGCACATGTGGGCGCACACACAGATATCTACATGTCACATGCACAAGGACACACGTATGTGTGGGTGTGCATGTCCATATAGGCATATGCCTCCTGCGCCCCTCTGCTGAGCAGTAGTGACACCCCACCAGCAGCAGTGAGCACACCAAGGACCAACCTTGGTTTCTAACTACCGTCCTGCTCTGACTCTGAAATGGGCAGGGAGAGACGAGAGGAGCTTGTATTCCCTGTTATGCCAGGCAGAGAGAAGGGCTCAAAGGATGGCAGGGACATGGAACAAGACAGGCGCCAGCTTGAAGGGGCTGCCACTTGTCAGACGGGGGCAATGCAAATGTCAGCAGCAAAATAAACAATGGCAGTGACAAACCAGTAAGATAGGAACTGAATAGCCCATAAGATGCAAAACTGAGTGAGCAGACGGGGGGGTGGGGGCAGGTAAGGCAATGCTCTGTCTCACTCAGAATGCAACCACCAGAGCAGGAGGGTGGAACTGAAAACCCCCACGCTGTCCCTGATTCAGGCAAGATGTCAACTGCTACCTTGGGTGAACGTCTGTAAGAAACGGGATACTTCCATAGCCTCGGAATATCTTCTGACAAAATACTTGAATACTCATGACTTTCTAATTCTAAACACAAAATACTTCAGTGATTTTACAGGGACAAAGCATGGCAATGTCACCCTAAGTGAAAAAGCTAACACTGCCACTGACAGGACGAATCAACGCTGCCTTCCTTCCAAAGTGGCGCTCTGAGAACAAGCATATGCTGGGTGGTAGCATCCTGCCCCAGGTGCGCAGGCAGACTCTAGTCACCAGCAGACTGCAGGCAAGCCCCACAGGACACTCCGCAAGACGACCAGCCAAGAGCTCGGCATCACCGGGGCCACAGAGGAGAGCCCGGCAGCAGGGCAGCCAGGACCACCCAGCACCCGGGAGCCCGAGCAGGCAACGACCGAGCACCAGAGGGACACTGTGGAATGGGGATGGGGCCTGTGACAAGATCACGCCAATTCAGGATCCTCACAATTCTACATTTTCAGGACAGACCAGCTCTAAGCTTCAGAGCACAATGGAGCATTTGGTCAATAATTTATTTTCAAAACTGTTCAAGAAGCCAGGCGTAATGGTGCACGCCTGTAATCCCAACAGCTCAGGAAGCTGAGGCAGGAGGATTCCAAGTTCAAAGTCAGCCTCACCTGCCGCAGTCTGGCTGGGTACAAATCACGAGCCACTGAAGCAGGAACAAATTTTATTTCTGAACTCCACCAGCACACTCCACACACGCTCCCGGGAACTCTCCCGAACGCCACGCGGCTCCTCCAGGAACCACCAACCGGAAATCCCTCCTCCGGCACTTCCCCAACCAAAGCGAACTCTTCAGGAATCCCCGCGAGAGCTCAACTGGAACTCAACGGGAACTCCGCGAGAACTCAAAAGTCATCATCTTAATGGCTCGCTGGCGTCACCTCTCAACCACTACTTCTGGCAAAAATGCCATGCGTCATCCTGACTCGGCTGTGGCCCTCAACACTCACCAACTTGGTGAGGCTCTAAGCAACTTAGTGAGACCCTGTCTCAAAAATAAAAAGGACTAGGGATGTGGCTCAGTAGTAAAGCACCCCTGGGTTCAATCTCTGGTACCAAACAAAAAAAACAAAAAAAAGAAGCATCTCTTCAAGAAAAAATATGCACACACATGGGGAGAATGATAAGGAAATGTGGGCAGTGTTAGCAACCAGGAAATCCGGGCAAACACCGTGAAAACTCTGTGTATTTTTGCAACTTTTCTCTAAGTTTGAAATTATTTCAAAATAATTTTTTTAAGGCACAAGAGTTAATGTGAGAAGGACAGCAGTGGGCAAAGAGGGCAGTGTCAGCATCTAGGGAACAGAGTCTGCATGGAGTGAGCCATCTAAATAAAGACCCACCGTCCATGGAGAGCTGCTGGCCACAGCTCATTATTTTCATAAATGAAGGGAACGAACCTCACACGTGCCCCGACTTCACGGGACTCGTGTGCTTCAGGGGGGCCAAAGCGCTGCTGGGGGAGCTCCGGTTGACAGGAGACCACAGGAGAGTGGCGGAACTGGGACGCCACCAATCTGTACCCAGGGAACCCGCAGGCATGGTCGCGAGCCCTCAGGTGACAGTGGGCAGGAATTCACCACAGGTACGCCAGGGAATCAGCACCCGAGCCCCCCAGGACCACCAGCCACAGGGGCCTCTGCAGGTGACATGTTCACCAACACCCAAGGCTCAGAGATGGGTAGTCCAAGGAGAGCAGGTCCCGACCCAAACTGTCCAACTGTAAATACCATGAGCACCTGACATCAGACTAGGCTAGGGGTCCTTGTTAGTTCAGGGGCAGGGACCACGGCACATGGTCAGGATGAAAGTCTTTATCTATCAGAGGTCCACCCTGCAGCAATTATGGGTAAACTCATTCAAATTTCTGAGGCTTTTCTTAAAACTCCAAATTCATGCAAAAGGATCATCATTTTGCTAAAAATACTTGAAATATTATTTTAAGTTCCCTTATCTGATTCTTCCCAAATACAGTTGCCATTAACCCCTCCCCCTCCAAAGGAGGGTCTCAAAAATTCTAGGAAGGAGTCATTCTGTCTAATCCCTGGACACCAAACCCAACAGAACCCTCTGTGCTCTCCCTGAAGCCCACCTCGCCCTGGCTGTTATGCGCGGGCACAGTGAAACCCACCCTGCACACCACCTGCCCGCCGAGGGCTGACCCGCAGCCCTGACCACCCAGACCCTCAGCAGGGGAAGCAGCCCCAACAACCCCCCTCCCAACAGTCGTGGCAGCAGGGTGGTGGCTGGGACTTCCCGCATGTGGGAGTCCCAGCCCCGACATCCTCTACAGCACCAACAAAGGGCAGGCGCGTTCCATCAGCAAAGGCAAAAAAAATAGATAAAGCAGGTTTCGCCAGCTTTTGCCAACGCCTGGACACAGCTGTGGCTGTCCTGCTGGCCGTCCACCTCAACCCTCGCCCTGCCCAGCCCCGCCCCAAGTTGGCCCAGATCTCTTCCCTCCGGGAGGGCAGAGAAAGAGGGAGGGGTCAGGGCCAAACGGGAACCATAAAGACACAGCACACGTCACTCAGCCTCCGAGGACAGGAGGACGCACGGCGCTGCAGGGCTGTGGGATGACTGAGATGTCGTCTTGCCCCTACCTTGGCGTGCTTGGTGAAAGTGGCGCTGCACTTCCGAGGTGATCCGGCGTCTGTGCCCCTCTCGGAGCTCAGCTCAGCAGAGGCCTGTGAGGAACCCCGGAGCAGGAGCAGGTCGCAGGCGCAGTCGGCAGCTCCTGAAGGCCACCCTGCGTGCCCCACGCCAGCCCTCCCGGCAGCTGCCAGCCAGCCTCCCCCAGGCACAGACTCCAGCGTGTCTCCCCACTGTGCCTGGAGCAAAGGTCTGCTCAATCCCAGGCCCATCCACAGAGCCAGCTGGGCCCAGCACATCCTCAGAGGTCAGTCAGACACTGGGACACACACTCACGTCACCCAAGGCCTCCAGGTTGGTGTGTAAAGGCAAACGGGACAGAGCAGGGTGGGGCACCCACCCACTCTCGCCAGGTTTGCACACACGCCTGGCGGGAGGAGAGGAGGGCCTGGGCTGCCTGTGTGGCACAGGTACAGAGGAGGCGCCGAGTGGCAAGGCGGGCAGACAAGGGTGGAGGGCAGAGCCCACCTGCCAGACACGGGCACACTACAAACACCTGTCGGCACTCTCCCTTTCTATGGCCGGGAAGGGCCTTCCCTGTTGGCCTGGGCCACACCTGTACGGGGGCTGGCCGACCCACAGAGAAGCTCTGGTACTTGAAGGGAACGTGGGTGGTCTCCCGGGGGCGCAGGTAGAGCTGGGGGGCCAGGCTGCCGCGCAAGTGGAACATGTCCTCCTCCAGGGGTGTGTGCAGGCCGGCGGCGTCTTTGAAGTACCTCCACTCCTGGCTGTCCAGGATGACACTGGAGGGAGGCAGTGGGGAGGCCGGGGCTGTGGGCAAAAGCCGCCCTCCCCCAGAGCCGCCCCGGCGGGGGACAGGAATCAGCATAGCACAGACCCAGCGAGGGGCCAGGCAGGAGCTGTCACCTGAGCTCAGGGTTGTCGATCTCGATGGTCACCGTGTGCTGGATGTTGTGGGGGTTCTTAAGCGCGAACTCGAAGAACTCAGCAGTGCCCAGGGTGGCGTAGAGCGTGTGCTGCGTGGTGACGGCCAGGCTCAGCACGCTGGCAATGCTCTCGGCCTTGGTGCGCTCCCGGTAGGCGTCAATGACCTGCAGGTCCCGCGAGTGCTGTGCCCGCACGCTCTGCTGGGCCTGTCAAACACGGGCCAGCTGGCTGCACAGGCCGGGTGTGTGCCCTCCTGGGCGGGGCCTGTGTGCCGCCCCACTCCAGGGCATCAGACTTCTGGAAAAGCACGACTGACCCTGCCTTGGCCTGAGGCTCGGGGACCAGCCCACCCCCAGCCCAGAGAGCCTCACAGCATCAGAACAGGGAAGGGGCACACCTTTCCCTCCATGGGGAGGCCCGCACGGCACCCCAGCTTCTCTGCCTCATGGCAGGGGCACCCTGCCTGCTCCCGAGACCCCTCCCAGGGGCAAGGCTGGCACCCAGGCTCAGCAGGGCAGCTGGACACTGTGGCTTCAAAGAGGAAAGAATGGCCTCAAACCTGAGCCTGGCGACAGAGCTGGCCCCCAGGTCCCCACGTGGTGTTGAGAGCCCAGCCTGTGACCATGTCTGCAGGAGGCGTGTCCCCTGTACCCCATCCCAGTGTTCCCAGCAGCCTCACACTGGGTCCAAGTCCATGAGGCTCAGCCCCGCCTGCTCACGCGCCCTGAGACGCAGAGCTACAGCCCGGCACGTTCCGTAGCTGGTTTACGTCTGGGCCTTACATTAAAAAGTGAGGCTGCTTCAAGGCCTAGACGGGGCCTTCCCCACACCAGGGTGTCCCAGGCGGCAGCTGCTCCAAGGTCCACCCGGCCAGGCACAGAGAACTCCTGCCAAGGCTGAAGAGCTGGGATGGCAGTGAGCAGGCTGCCTGCAGCTCCCACAGACTTGACTGAAGCCAGCCAGGAAGTGACTTTGATACCAACTGGCCAACGTCCAAAGCCCTGGCCTTTTCCTTGCAGGGATGGGAGTTGGAAGTAGAGGGTGTCCAACTCCCCCTGGAGGCCTCTTATGGGCATCTGGCCACGAGACCCTGTCCAAGCAGTGAAGCCTCTGGATGGTGGTGCTGGGTCCCAGAGCCAGACATGAGTTAGGATGAGGAGGGACCAGGAGTTGAGCGGGCACCTTTCTGACGTGTGCCCAGTGGAGGGGCCTACACCTCCTCTGCCCACCAGTGGCGCAGTCCCCAGGAGGATACAGTGGCAGGCTTTAAGAAGTGGCCCACTTGAAGACACGAGCAAGACTGCCTATTAGACCAGCTGTCCAGGGAGGGCATGGGGTGACCATACTTGGTATAACGTGAGCACAATGGATGCTCGGGGCCGCAGGGGGTCCTTCTGGCCCATTCCTGTCTCCTTCCATGCCACAAGGACCCTGTCAGCCTAACGCCCCACCCCCTGTCCACCCACAGGAGACAGGGTGACTCCTGATTAGACAGTCCCAGGACATCATCTGGCCAGACGGTGCTGCCCTCCCTCTGGGTCCACCTGCCTGGAGACAGCATGGGGGCTCCCACTGCTCTTGGCCAGCACACAATTAGGGGTTCACAGTCCTCCTGTGGAGAAGGCCGGGCAGTGCCCAGGTCAGGCGGGTCTGTCCTTAAATCCCAGGCTCAGTGTCAGGAAGCTGCCTGCTGCCAACACGAGCCAGCGCTCCAGGTCAGTGTCACCAGCAGAGAGCCATCAGAAAGAGAGCAGTTAGCTGCTGCTCTCCCATCTCGTTCCTCCATCAATTCGAAGCCAAAGCAAAAAAACAATGATGGTCCCCACTGGGTCCCTCGGTTCCCGGCTCTCATCGCTCCCAGTGTGGTCCTAGACACTGGCTCAGGCCCAGGCACATCACGTAGGCAGTGAGACAACGGGCCGTCTGCTCACTGTACCTCTGGGAAGCAAGCTTTCCCCTCCATGGCCCTCGGCCTGACATGACAGCATGGCTCTTGGGAGCACAACATCACTGTGCAGCTGAGGGGTCACGCCTGGGCTGTGGGGATGCCACCTAGGGAGGTGGAGGGTGAGGATGCTATACAGAGGGCAGCTGGGGGGACCTGACCCTGGTGAACAATACAGCTGGCCCTGCCTGGGGCTGTGCAGTTACTGCATCAAAGGACTCGTGTGGGGACAGCCACTGAGCAGAGCAGCAGGGCCAGAAATCAGGGTGAGGGCCTGGGACCTGTGCTACAGGCCACTGCATGCTGGATTCCTGTCACCTGCAACCCCATGGCATCCCTCACCCCTGAACAAGAGTGGCAGCCTCCCTCTCAACCCAGGGTCTCCCTGCAGGCCTCTGGCTGCACACATGCAGTGGCTACCACTGATCATGGCAGTCACTATGGGCACTGGACACACAGTAGGCTGTGACCCTCACAAGGAAGAGGAGGCACAGGGACAGAGTGTCCCTTGGTATTACAGGGTAGGGCATCGGGTTGCTGGAGCTTGCTCCCAGCCACAGGCCACAGGACCTTCTGTTGAGAAGCCCTGCGACACTTGGCCTAATGCCTAGCTCTGCCTCCCTGGGGCTGTGCCACCTGCTACAAGACGACCCAGGGTCCCCCGCCTGCCTGCTGCACAGCCCTTGGGGCCAAGGCCATCCCAGGATGCAGTAAACTTGCCCCACAGAGGACCAGGCGGGGCCCAGCAAGCCGGCCCAACAAAAACAGGCTGACTCCACCGCAGCACCACTGCTTCACAGGGCCCTGACTTGTAAAGGCTCTGGAAGTGACAGGAACCTCTGACATGTGATCCCTCGAGTCACTTCACCAACCTCCTGCAGGCCACCAGCTCAGAACATCAGGGGAAACTGGGGGACAGCTTGTGGCTTGACTGCCTCCACGCCTGGCTGGCTCACTTCTCCTCATACCGTGTGACAGCAAGCTAGCCAGATTGATAGAGCCACCACCACACAGCCACTGCCACTGAGGACCACTGTGTTCCAGGCCCACCATTCCCTGAGGGAACCCTCAGTGAGCCCGCCAGACAGCTGACGGAGCCTGCCTGGGGAGAACTTGTGGGCATGGAGGCCAGGCAGAGGCCCCGGAGGCCAAGCCCACCAAAACCGGCTCACGTGCCCACCTCTCCCCCACGGCACCCTCCCACCTACACTGCCTCCTTCCCCACAGGCTGACAGGCTGGTTCTCTGCCTTCCCCAGGCTCCTGGCAGGGACCAAGGCATCTCCCGCCCCCAGTGCACATGGCTCCCGCAGGGGCTAAGCCGGTGCATGCTGCCATGACCCCGGGGGTGTTGGTGGCAGCATAGGTTCACATACCATGAGGTGTGGCCGTTCTTCCCCCATTTCTTCATTGCAAAACCTTACAGGTCTATTTAGACATTCAGCCAGAAAAGGAAATTCTTTTGGTCAAGTTGACTCAAGTGATAATCCCAGACATTTAAGCTCTTGGCCCTCAAATCTGGGGGACCTCAGAATCACCTGCAGCTTTCTTAAAACCCCGGCTCCAAGGCATGGCCAAGCTAAATGGAAGCAACTTCCAAGAGTAAAGCCTAAGAATCAGCTTTACTTAAAAGAGTTCCAGAAAATTCCAACCTGAAAATTGCCCCTGGTGGCTGAAAAGTCCCATTTTTCTTGTCTCTTGTAACCAGGATTTGGAAGAAAGTTGACAGAGGACCAGAAAGAAGGGAGGACAGACATGGGTACACAGCCTGGACCCTCACCAGTATGTTTGTTCTGCGGCTGCCCGGCTCCCCTCCGGATTCCTGCAGGCGCACAGACCGCATCCTCTCCAGCTTGCGCCTACGGACAGCATCAGCCTCACGGCCAGCACCCTGGAGCCCCTGGCCGCCCCTCACGTGGGTCAGCAGCATGGCGGCCAGGTCGCTGTCCACATCGGCCAGCTTCTGTGCTTGGACCACATTTTTTCCTGCTGAAGGGTCAGAAAAGGAGTCAGGGGTGACTGTGTACAGTCCATGCTCTCCAAGCAGACAGTGGTGGGCCACCCAGAACCACTTTATCCAGACAGGAAGCTCCAAGAGTGAATCTGATTCTTCTTTGTAGGTCCCGTCTGCGAGTTCTAAGGTGCTGACAGACGACAACTCCCAAGCCTGAGCCCCACAGCACCTCTTCTTTCACCAGCCTCTCAGATAAAAAGAATTTGGAGTCTGGTCCTTGGATACTCCATTAGGTGACTTTCTGGTGGGAGGCTCATGTGCTTGGATCTAAAGGGCACCAACACCAGCCAGGATGTGGCTGCAGCTCAGAGGCGGCCCCTCCGGGAAGCGTCCTGTGCTCTCAGGGCACCCTCACCCAAGCCCACGTGTGCCATCACCAGTCAAGCTCAGCTCAGGAGCAGGGGGCTATGAGGGGCTGTGTCCCTTGGCTGGAAGCCTCCCAGTGTGTCAGAGGCAGACAGAGTTTAAGTCAAGCCTGGCTCCAAATGCCCCTGGACCACCTGAGCCCAAGAACAGCCTATGTCCTCGGAGGGTGGGCTACTCACACCCTGAGCACCAGGAAAGCCACCAGCAGGTGACAGAAGCAGAGTTGTGCTCAGCCTACCCCATCTCCTACGGAGGCAGGGCTACAGGTGGTGGTGGGACTACCTTCAGGGACAAGGCCACATCAAGAACTGACACATGAGACTCCCTGACATCCAGCTGCCGGGCCAGGAAGGCCAGGTAAAGGGACACCCCGACCTAGGAGCCAGGTACTCCTGGTGCACAGCCACCACCAGAAGTTTCCTTGGGCTAAGCAAGGCCTGCAGGGACCCTCCTGGCCAGGTCCACCTTCCATCAGACACGGAGGGCGTCCTCCCAAGCAGCTCTCCTCTCCCCTCACAAGTGCCACTGCCAGGTCCCTCGCCAGCATTCTATTTTAAAGCCATATAATTGCTTTTTAGATGCCACAAGTTGGTTCCAATGTCTTACCACCCCTAAAGGGCATTTCCACGTCTAAGGGCGCAGGCATATGGGAGGAAGCCCAGCCCAGAATCACGGCTGAGCTTTCCAAAATTTAATATCCACATTAAAATAAGGAGCGGGCCCAAAACAGACTCATGGCTCCCCTGGGTCATGGGTCCCTCCGAGCTTCTGCTGAGCACACAGGCCTCTGTCCCTGGAAGAGTTCGGTTGTGCCTCAAGGTTCAGGGGTTGGACAGTGGCGTCCTCAAGGTCTTGCAGGATGGAACCCAGAGCCCCACCCAGCTCCAACAAGCCATGGCTCTGCCTCGCTCCTGGAGGTCCGGTTCAAGGCCAATGAAGTCAGAGGACTACCCACACAAGACGGCTCACGGCTGTTTCAGATTCACAGGAGACTCTCCACAACATGTGGGGAAAAGGCCACTTAAAAAGCATTACCCATTTTTAGTTCAAATGGCGTGTTGAGATTTAGGTCTGTGGGTTTCATTTCCCAGCACCTCACTGCCGTGAAAAGCACTTTTGCCAAACCCAGATCTTGCTCTCCAGACCCAGGTGTTTCTTTCCAAAGCTCTGTAAGTGGCTCGGAAACCAATGGGGAGTTTCAAATGTGCTTTTAAAATCAGCTGAGGTCCACCCTGACCTTTCCCCTTCCCTGACCAAACCCGAACGCTGCCATAGAATTACCATCTCCCCATGAAACCACACTGCTGGCCACAGGGCCCAGCCTGGGGGATGTGGTGGGGACAGTAGGTCCAAAGGACCCTCATCAAGGCCGGAAGCTGGTCACAGCAACCACTTGCCCCGGCCCCAGAGGGCCCCCAACACCACAAACACAACATGTACACCCTCTTGTCCTGCCCTGCCCCACAGTGCCACTCACCACCACCCAGGGAGCCCCACAGCCTCGACTCACATCTTGGGCCTCCCCTTGGGAGGAGGCTGCCTCCAGAGAAGCGACTGGCTCCGTCACTGGAGATGACCCGAGACCTGGATGGTGGCAGCAGGCTAGAACCCCTCACTGGCCGTTCACACGTGTGACCTGAGTAAAAAGGATCCGGCATGAAACAGACACCAAGGGGGAGGCTGACGAACCAGCAGCCCTTGCTATGAGGGTTCCAGCCTTCAGCCAGCACCCCAGCACCCACCTCTGCTCGGAACGCTATTTGACAGGCAGGGCCCCTTGCACTCTTGTCTCTGAGGTGCACCTTCCCACCCTCCCACCGTGAGGATGGAGCCGTGCACCTGTGTGTGGACTCACATTTTTTTTTTTTTTTTTTTTTGGACAAAGGGTCTCACTAGGTTTCCCAGGCTAGTCTCCAATTTTTGATCCTCCTGCCTCAGCCTCCTAAGTCACTGGGAGTACAGGTGTGCACCACCACACCTGCCAGTCAACACGGTTCTCATCCCTGGATTTCTGGACCGTCACAGGGAACATATCCTGCAACCTCAGCCTCTGGAATTGGGCACTGCTGGAGGACAAGCCTTCATGCTACCTGAAGGCCAGAGCCTTCCCAGCTGGGGCACTGGGGCAATTCCAGATGGAGACCCAGAAGCACTGGCCACACCTCCCTGCAGCTGAACAGTGCAGTGCCCCAGGGCCTGGCAAGGACCCAGCCCCAAGGAGAGCAGTACCTCCCTGGGCCACATGTACACCCACCCCCTGGCTTCTCAACCGCCTGCATCTGATGGCCAGTGGGTCCCTGAACCACAGGTGAGGCCTCAGGTCCACCTGCATCTGACTGTGATGAGCACTGGCCTGTTCCAAGCCTGGTGGCACGAGGCTCTTGGGAGACAGTGACCCAGGAAATTCTTTCAAGGTCGGGATCCAGTCCACATAGCTCACAGGTGGGCGACACCATTCTTGGAGCCTGGGCTCCAGGAGGGTGGGTGATGACAATCACCACAGCCATGAGACCAGCAGGACCACATGGACCCACAGAGGAGGCCACAGCAGGCCGCATCCCCACCCCACCCAGGGCACTCGCACCTACAGCACTGACTGTTGGAAAGATGGGAAAATAGACCAGGTGAGCCGAACTCACATCCGCATGCCTCCTCCAGTGGGGATGGGCACAGTGTGCCACCTTACACTGGTGAGACAGGGTGATGCCAGGGAACGAGGTGCCCGCAGCAGGGGCCTCCACACACGCAGGCAGGGCTCATGCAGTGGCCTGTGTCTGAGCACGGCACGCCACCACCAGCTGTCTGGCCCCACACCTTGGTCACTTGTCAAAGTCCACATCCTGGCTCTCCTTGAAGCATGCACTTGGCTGCCCTACGTTCCCTGAGGACACAGACACTTGACCTACGGGGACATCTGCCTGACAGCTGCCTCCAGGAGGTTGCAGAAGTGAGAACCAATTTCCCAGCTGACCTGCTGGCCTATTTCACAACCAGATCACCAGGGGAAAGAAAGCAACACAGTTCTGGCCATCCCTGGAGGACAGCGACCGAGGAATTTGTTTCAAGGTCAAGATCAGGCCACGGATCAGAACACAGTGTGGAAGAGACTGCTGAGGAGCCAGGGGGCCTGGGAGGAGAAGCACCAAGCCAGAGGACAGTCCTCTGCCCACCACAAGACCCAGGAGCCCTGAGTGGGACTGGCAGATGGCTGCGTCTCCACAGGCAACCCTGCGTCCTTGCTCGGCCTCCCGCTGGAACAGGCGCTGCGCAGCGCCCGCTTCTGCCCCCGAAGGCTCCCACAGAGGTCTTCCTATGCACTGGCAGCGCCTCTGTGCCACGCACAATAGCCAATTTTATAAAGAAATAAAGGCCATACCACTTTATTCTTAAAAAAAAAAAAAAAAAAAAACACAAAGTTCACAAGCGCAGCTGCAGGGGTGCGCAGTGCTGCGTGAGCATGGTCCCCTGCGGCAGCTCCCCCCCCGGGGCTCAGAGTCCCTCCTGCAGGCCGCAACTCTCCTTCCCCTGGGCTTATCTCTCTCTGGCAGGCAAAGTATGGAAATGACAATTTAAGATAACATATAAAGGAGCCCATCTTTCTCCTCAAGATAAGATTAAGGCCTGGAGTCACTGCACACTTGTGGGCGGGTGAACTAACGTAAGCGCAGCCAGGGGCTCGAGCAGAGGCCTCTGCAGCTCGGCGAGTGCTCAGACAGCGCCTGCCGCTCACATGGGGCTCATTCACTCCTCCAGAACCTAACTGAGCCTCGCTGGGTCCGCACTGTCTGCCTTCCAGGCTGTCTCGGCGTCTACACTTGTAGACAAGCAGGCAGAGCCTCCCAGAATTAATGGGCTGTGCGCTCCCTCCCGCTGCCACCGCAGCTCTGACACCCTGTGCTGTGCCTGCACATGGTGGAGTGGCCCGTGGGTCACCAGGACGCCAGGTCAGACCAGGTTTTGAGCAATGGAAAATCCCCTAATAAGATAATAGAGGCCTGTGTCCCAGCCTCGTGGAGTGTTCCAGAACCTTCCAATAGCTTGTCTCACTGCACTTCCCATTTCGCCTAGAAAGGCCCAACCGTTTCAGAATATCCCCAAGGGAAGATCAGTGGGTGTGTCACAGGACCAGCAGGGTCCTTGTTGGCCCTCTGGGGTGGCCACAGGCAGGCACCTAGCCTCTGGAGATCTCCACCCACCAGCACTGAGCAGCCCCAACCCCATCGCTGCCCTCTGTTGGAAACGGGAAGCCCAGGTGGGACCATGCCGAGCCCCCGACCCCAGCCCAGACACAGAGAATGAGAACAGGCTCTGCTCAGTCTCTGCCAGCAGCCCGTGGGACTCCATCTGCTCAAGATCTCAGTGCCCGAGAGAAACTCCCCTCTCACCCTCCCGAGCTGCTCGGAGGGTGCGGAGCATCTCCTCTCCTCTGCAGCGGGCAGTTATGTTGACTGCACGTCCAAACAGGAACACCCTCCCAGAATCCAGCTACTTGAGGACTGTCAGGGAGTCGCTGGGATGACCCACGGAGAGCACCAAGAGACATCACGTGGGCCAGTCTGAGGTGGCAAGGATCTCAGTCCTGGTCAGTAACTGAGGTGGACTCCTGAAGCCAAGCTGACCTGCCTCCTGCTGATTCCTACCAAGTACACAGCGCCCACGCTGCCGCGGGCCCTCACGCTCCAGCAGAGACCAGCCGTCCCCGGAAACAGCACAAACCCAGGCAAAGCTGCCAGGACTCACCCACGTTGGCCAAGGTCAGGTGCAGCAGGCCCCTCACCACCGTGTGGACACCAATGGGCTTGACGCTGCCAAACCTGGTCACGGCTCCACTCACCACAGACGCGTCCTGCTCATACTCGGTCGCCACGACCTCGAGCTCATGTGGCACCTGCACAGCCGGCCGCCCCTGGCGGAGGAGGTGCTGCGAAGGAGAGACAGGCGCTCAGGAGCTGGGTTCCACCACCCCGCCCAGGGATCCCTGCAGGTGCAACCACTCCAGAGCCCCGAGAAAGACCACTGAGCGTGGGGAAGGCCAGGAACCCGAGAGCCCTGACCACGTACACGCTGCGGGGGAGATCTCCTTCAACCACGAGCCCTCAACATCAGGGGCTTCTTCAGAGACTCTGGAAGTGGACCCAACTTGCCCCCTGAAAACACTGCCCCTGGGGATGCACAGTGGCCTGGCACCTGCCCTTCACAGGGAGAAGGACCAGAGGTGGGCAGTAGAAAGAGATAAGGACCCTCCACTGAGCCGAACTCAGGGCACTCAGGAGTGACCTGGGCAGCAGTCTGAACTGATGAGCACAGGCACAGGGCAGTGGAGGCCAGCAGGGCAGCGGAGGCCAGCAGGGCAGGGGAGGCCAGCAGGGCAGGAGTGCACAGCACAGCCTGCACGACTTCATTGTGGCTGGAGGTGCCCAGAGGGCCGGGCAGGGGCCACAGGGCACAAGGGCCAGCTGTAGCGCAGGGCTGAGGCCCGTCGGGAAGTCAGGCAGAGAGAGCACAGGGACGCGCCAGAGCCAGGACAGTAATGGGCAGGACCTTGCCGGCCAGGGTCTTCACATTGCACCCCCAGCCTCCGCCTGAGCCCAGGAGCTTGCTGGCGTGCGGGGGACCGTGCTGCCATCACGGCTCCAGCCCACTTGCACTTTCTCTACTGCTCCCTGGACCAAAGCAGAGGTGTGGAATGTTTTCCAACTCTCACTGCAACCAAAGCACCTGCCTCTGGGAGTGGAGAGGCAGACCCGAGCCTGCCCTCGGCTCCATCAACGCAGCACCTGCTGGCCTGGCGCTGCTTGTACCCACTGCCCGACTCACAGCATGCACGTCCCCAGGCCAGGACCCTTGGAAGATGAGGTCTGAGAAGGGGCAATAAATATAAGAAATAACGTCAGCCTCACGAGGAGCCGTGAACAGACACAAAGCAGCACCCTCGCCCACCAAGCCACAGGGACTTAAAGAGGCCAACACCCTTAAAAAGGACACGTGTGCAGCAGCCCAGGCCCTCTCATCTGCAGGCCTTGCCAGCCTCTGGGCCGTACCCACCTGGCCCTGTGCACCTGCCACCCTCGCTCGGCAAGGAATTCTGCTGCCTAGAACCTGTCGTCTAGGGACAGTGGAACAAGCACAAGTTTCGAGTCAAAATCCTGAGTCGGAATTGGGCTGAAAACCCACCCTGGTTGTCATCAAGCGTGACCCCGGGCTTCAGCCACACCAAAGGGAGCACGCAGCTGCTGGCAGCAGCTCTTCCGGTTGCCACAACAACACAAGAGACACAGGAAATTCAGCTCCTTCAGTTACAGGGCCGTCTCGGGCACGCCCACCAGCAGGCAGAGGCGAGCCACAGGCAGCCTTGGTGGGCAGAAAACAGGACGACCAGGCGGGGCGGGCGGAGCGCGGCTCGGTGAGGGCCCATGTGCGCACACTCGAGGCCCAGAAGAGAAAGGACAGCACAGCACTGACCACCCAGGACCACGCCACAGGAGGCCACCTCTCCCACCTTCACTTCCCACCTTTGCTCCTTCAGTTTTAAACCTAAAAGACTTTTTCACTTAAAGTTAAAAGGGTTTTTATTTTTTTTTTTAGTTGTAGATGGACACCATACCTTCTATCTATATATCTATCTCTCTCTATATTTATTTATATATTTACTTATTATGCGGTGCTGAGGATCAAACCCAGGGCCTCACACGTGCTAGGCAAGCCCAGCCCCTGAAACTCAGTTTTCCTTGGTCCAACTCTGTCAATACACATCACGGCACGGCACTGGGCTAAGGGCTGCTCTTACGGGAGGGAATCAACGGCTTCTGTCTCCAGGTATGAAGGTGAACAAGGACGCAGGGTTTGGTTGGGCCAGGCCCCAGGGGGGTGAGCCCCCCTGGGCAGTGCGTGCAGCCTGGCTGTGCACCCCACCCTGCTCTCGGGCAGTCAGGGCCAGGGTGGGAGGCACAAACAAGACTCCGAAGACCAGGAGGGTTACAGCAACTGAGTCCTTACTGGCAGACCCTGCCCCAGGCCCCTACACCCACAGCTCTACCATACCCCTAGGGAGCACATCCTCCTCACTAAAGACACTGAGGCGGGCTGAGTCACAGGGTGCACAGGGAGTCAGAATCAGAGGAGGGAGGGACAAGCTGAGCCCAGGAACAGCAGCCTGCTGTCAGGGACCCCTGGTGCTGCACATGGGAGGACAGAGAAAGCGAGCACATGGCGGAGGAGGGGCAGAGGGATGGCCAGGTCTGCGTCTCATGCTCAGCGGCCGCTAGAGGGCCATATCAATAGAGGGGCCCAGAGTGCAGGAGGGTGTGGTCACATGGGGTGGAGGCAGGAGAGACCCAGGAGCCGTGGTTATGGTGTCTCCTCCCCCTACCCCCACAGGCCTTGAGAGCAAGGCCCAGGACATCCCGCAGAAGCACACAGCAGTAGTCATGGTGGTCTGCCTCTGACCCACTGTGGTCCCCTGCACGCAGTAGGGAAGGTCTGCGGAGAAGCCGCGGAAAGCGCGAGGACAGGACAGAGCTGGATGTCAGGATACGGACAGGCACGGTTGGGGGGGGGGGGTTGATTCTAGCTAGAATTCCTTCACTGATGACCATGCCAAGTTTTCACCCTTGTCCCTTGTTCATTCCACCTTCAAGGCCACCCACCAGGCTCCTGCCCTGGGGAAACTTACATCATCACACTCAAGGAGCAGCAGACGACAGGACCTGGCAGGCCAGCTTGCAGGGGAGCTCAGCAAGCCACACCTCGCCTTCTGTTCAGAGCACACAGGGCTCAGCACTGTTCTCAGCGGCAAAAAGCAAACCACAGTCCAGTGCTGCATGGTGACCAGCTCTCCATGGACTGCCCTGTGAGCCACGCCTGGCCTGAGCAAGGCCGTACCTTCATGTGGACGGCGGCAGATCCAATGAGGAGCAAGGAGTCCCCGTCCCAGACGTCGATCTGCAAGGTCTGCACGGCCAGGTAGCGGAGGAACCAGCGCTGCTCGCCCGGCTTCAGGAAGCCAGGGCCCACCACGTACCTCAGCTGGAAGCCAGGAGACCCTGTGCGAGGAGGCCCCATGAGGGCCCAGAAGTAACTGGAGTCATTCATCATCTTTACTCTCTGAAGAGATCTCTGCTCGGGTCATGATTACCAATTTCTGCTTCCGTCATATTGATAGTTAAAAAACACATTAATCAAAAACATCATAAAATGCCCCAATTAACAAAGCCAAGAGTCATGTTCAGAAGACTACACTTCTTTTCAATGTACACAGTAAACTTCCAAAATAAGATTTATGGCTTTCACCAAGTCCTTGTAAAACATCTATGATGGATGGGAACAAGCGCCCTGATGAGGCTCGCTGGGAAGCTCATTATTCTGGGCACGCAGAATTTAAGGAAAAACGCAGCCGACATCTGCTGTCAATATGGTGCACGCACGCACACACACATGCACACACATGCATGCACACACACACACACACACACACACACACCTCTCAAGCGGAGCAGGTGCTTCAAGCTTGTTCAAGTGTGGGAACTCGGGACCTGGAACGGGGCTGCCCTAACACAGGCCGGGCAGCACCCCACGGGGCTTGTGGGCTCCTCTTGGAGGCAGTGCCTGGCTATGGGGCTGAGACACGAGCCGACTGCAGCCAGCCTTCGTCCTGAAGTGGCACTATCATTAATTCTAAATTGACACAAATGCCACTGAAACTTCCATTAGATGAGGTTCAGGGACAGCAATGCTGGCAAGTTCAAATCAACACCCCTGGTCTACCCCCACGGATCAGCATTTGTGAAGCACCAAGGAGCAGAACCCTGGTCTCTAGGAAGAAGGGGCAGGAGTCTGTGTGGTCCTCCACTGGACTGAGGTTTATATATGGTTGGGCCACAGGTTCCCTCTGTGACTCCATCTCAGGCCACCTGTCCTCAAGACCCGGTGGCAGTGCAATTACTAGAGGGAGGGACACAGCCTAAGACCTTGAGCTTCAGCCCCAGGGTGGGTCCCAGGGAAGCAGGGTGAGGAACAGTTGCTTAGGCCTGAAGGGGCATCTCACAGGGCCAAGGGCACGTAAGAACCCAGGACAACAAGGAGGAGCTGGTCACCAAGGCCAGTGGCAGGCAGCATGCCCCAGCATGGCCTCTTAGAGGTGGCAAGACCCTCACCCCAAACTCAGCCTGGTCCTGCTCTGAGGACTCAGTGGCCTGCGATATCCAGTTGGAGCTCAGGACACCCAGGTTCAGGTGGGATCCCCGTGTCACACACCCACAGAGCAACACCCACCACCAGCAAAGGAAACGACAAATGACACAGCAGAGACCATTCCAACTGACATCAAAGACAAAGGCTCACCACTGCGATGGATGAAAAGCCCCTACATGGGACCAAGTAGACGGGTGGCCCGACAGAAACCCGGGAAAGACAGGAACAGAAGTCCGCAAAAAAGGACGAGCATAAAACACACTGAACTTCACTCATTAAAACTTCACTGAGGCTGGCAGTGGTGGTACACACCTGTCATCCTGTGCCGTGGGAGGAGGCAGGAGGACCACAAATTCAAGGACACCCTCAGCAACTAACGAGATGCTGTCTCAAAATAAAAAGGACTGGGGAATGTATTTCAGTGGAAAAGCACCCGCGGTTCAATCCCCAGTACAAAAAATAATGATAAAATACAACAAACTTCATTGAGGCTGATGTTACTGTTTGCATGTGAGGTATCCCCAAAAGCTCCTGTGTTCAAGTGAGATAATCGGATTGTGAGAGCTGTAACCTAACCCATGGACTGATCCATTTGATGGATTCTTAATCTGGAAGCACTACTGCGTGGGTGTTGACCGTATGCAGGTGGCACGTGGCTGGGGCAAGTGGGTCACGAGGGATGTGCACTCGGGGGTTACCTCTTGTCCCCGTGGCTCTGTAAGTGCACACATCTTTGTGTGCGTGTGTCTGACTCCCCCCCGCCTTCCTGGTTTCCTCTGCCACACCCTTCTGTCATCATGGCCCAGAGCAACGGAGCAGGCCAGCGTGGACAGACCTCCAAAACCACGAGCCAAAATACACTGTCCTCCTCTAAGTGGTCATGTCAGCTTTTCATCACTGACCAAGATACCTGACACAGAAGCTGGTACTAAGAGTAGGGTCATTACTGTGACTAACCTGACCATGCGGCTCAGAAACCTCTGGAACTGGTTTGTAGAAGAATCTGAAAAAGCTTGGAGAAGCCGGCTGGCGAAGCCTTAGAATGTGTAAGCGGGAATCAACGGTGATTCTGGTTGGGTTTAGAAGACCACAGTGCCAACAGAAATGCGGACAGAAAAGACTATGTTCACGAGGTTTCAGAGAGAAATGAGGATTCTTTTGGAAACTGGACTAGAGGCTATTCATACTATATTCTGGCCAAAAAAAAAAAAAAAAACTTATCTACATTTTTCCCATGTTCTGAGAGTTTCTATGGGGCTGAATTTAAAAGTGATGAATTAATTAACATGGCAGGTTGATTTCAAGTTTTCACAGTATTCAGGCAGTGACAACAGTGTGTTGCTGGCAACTTCCAGCCAGGTTTGCTTTTGAGAATCAGAAGCAAAAAGCAGAAAGGAGAGATTCTTAAAACCTATCATTTGGCCAGAGAAGAAGCCCGGACAGCACTGGGGCTGAGGAAGGTGTGACTGTTGAAGAGATCACCACCAATAAGGAGAAGCTAAGTACTTTGCAGAGTCAACAGGGAAAATGCCTTCAGGATGGCAACTCAGGAATCAGCAAGACCACACCCATTGCAGGCTCAAGGGTGCAGAACTGGAAACTTCTTTAAGAGACCACGGGGGCAGCCTGCTCACACAGGGATGCTGGGAAATCGTTTCCCTGGGATTCTGTTTTACCAGGCTCAGCCATGATCCAGGGGGCCCAGCTACTGCTCAAGCTGGTGGAAGATCCTGGCAAGGTCCCGCAGATGCCGGCTCTCCAGGAATGCAGGATTTAAGGGGTCATGGAGGCTTCCACGGATATTTCAAAGGAAGGCCTGGGAGGCCAGGCAAAGAGCAGCAGGGTCAGAGTCCCTGCAGGCAGTCCCGAGAGAGCCACGTAGGGAGGTGTGAGAAGCCAAAGCTGTAGAGGAGACCCTCTAGGATTAAAGGCTGCCAAGGAAGTATGCTGGCTGCAAACAAAGTCAGCCTCACAGAGAGGTCACCTGGGCTGCACCTGGCAAGGCCACAGGGCAGCACTGCTCAGGCCCTTCCGAGGTCTCATCTCACCTGGTGCAAGAGGGAGGGCTGGTGTGCTCAGCTGGCTGCCGTACTGTGGCCCAGTCCTTCTTTCTACACCCTCTTCCTCCACTCTGGGATGGAAATGTTCACTCGGTGCCATTTTATATTGGATTCATGCAACTCGCTTTCCGTCATTACAGGGGCTCACAACCAAGAATCCGTCTTAAGTCTCAGAGGAGTATTTAGACTTAAACTTTTGGGCAATGGTGAAACTGTTAAAGACTATGGGACGCTCAGAGATGGACTAAATGCATTTTGTATTTGAAATGGACATGAGCTTTTTGGGTGCCAGGGGCAGAATGTTATAGTTCAGATGTGAGGTATACCCCCAAATCTGTATTAATGCAGGAATTTCCAGAGGTAAAATGATTAGGTTGAGAGTTGTAACCTCATCTGTAGATTAACCAGTTTGATTAATTAGCAATTTTAAAGGACTATTGTTCTGGGTGGCAACTGCAGGCAGGTGGGGTGTGGCTGGAGGAGGTGGGGATTCTCTCATCCCCCGGCTCCCCCTTCTCTCTGTTTCCTAGTTGCCAGGAGTTAAACATCTTTCCTCCACTACACGGTTCCACCATAAAGTCCAGAGCAACAGAGTCAAGTACCATGGACAGAACCTCTGAAACCATGAGCCCAAATGAATCTCTCCTCTTAAGTTGTTTTGGTAAGAAGTCTTGGTCACTGTGGTAAAAAGCTGCTAACACGGTTGATTTCACGTCTCCCTGACTGTAAGACCCCCAGCGCTGGACACCTCACCATGAGGGCAAGGTCATGGGGACAGGCCCAACAGGACTGGCAAGTTCCAGAGAGGAAGCAGCTGACGGACACTGGCACAATGCCCGCCGACATCTCTGCCATGGCGTGGATGTGGTGCAGTGTGTCTCAGGGGCTCATGTGCCTGGTCCCCAGTGTGCAGTGCTGAGGTGCCGGAGCCTTTGAAAGGTGGGGTGGCACAAGGTAATGGGGTCAGGGAGCAGCACTCTGAAAACGGACTGATTCAGAGCAAGTTCTCACAGCAATGAGTTGTCATAAAGAAGCAGACGCACAGGCTACTCAATGGCTGCCTTACTTGGGGTGGTGAAATACCAGAAAAAGCCCAAAGGCCCCCCAATCGGAGACTGGTAGAACAGACTACAGAACAGTCACCCCTAGCGTCCCACGCAGCCATAAAAAGGGATGCAGACCATGCCCGCGTTGAGTGGAACGCAGGACAGTGTTCACTGAGAAGTGCAGGGTACAGAAGAGTGTGCGTGGTGTGCTTCCAACTGAAGAGAGAAAGGGGGGAATAACAAAGATATACACACACTTCCTTTTGAAGACCAAACAAACGAAAACACTAGAAGGATAAACAAGAAATTGAAATCCTCCAGGAGACAGGACAGAGAGGAGCAGGAGGGGACGGGATGGCTAGGAGTCTCCAGTACACACTTGACGACAGTTGTGTATTTAAGCTGTGTAAAGTTCTTAAAAATGGAATCAGAAAGGAAGAAAAGCAAATCTAAAACTGCAAATATAAAACAAATTGAAACAAATGAATCCTACCAAATATCAAACTGGCAATGTAACTCCACCAAGGAAAGAATTACTTCCAGGGCCCCGGGTCATGCATCACGTCTGCACCCAGTGGGACAGAGCCTCAGAGCAGAGCCACGAGGCCCCTCAACTCCGTCGGGACAGGCTCTCCCATCAGCATCAACAGTGCAGTTCTCAAAGCCCATGATGTAGGCTGGAAGGCCAACAGGTGAGTAAAACTTACCAAGATCTACGATTTTCTGTGTAAGAGAAATATCAATAAA